ACCAGAACAATCTACACATAATCAGATCGATTGTTTATGTATCACTAAAAAATTCAGAGAATCAACGGAAGCAACACACACAGACTTTCCTATAGTTATCATTCCACCAACGATCGAAGAAATCAGGATGCCCATCAGACAAATGAAGAGTGGGAAATTAACAGGAACGGACAATATACCATTTTAAGCAATGAAGTCAGACATAGAAGCAACTGCAAACATGCTCCATATTGCATTCAAGAGGAGTTTGAAGAAGGAAAAATTGCTGACAGACGATATCTAATCACGATACTGAGGAAAGAGACCTGAGCAAATAAGTGAGCTACAAGGGCATCACTCTACTATTGGTACAAGAAGAGGATTCAACAGAGTGTTGCTTCAGCGAATGAAAGATTCAGTAGATCAACAGATCGGATTCTGTGATGATCGATCGTGCACACACCGAATTGCGAGACAGCGGATCTTCGTCAAACAATCAGTCACTATACATCAACTTCCTTTACTATGAGAGGGCGTTAGACAGATTGGATAAAATAAATTTATGGAACCTTATTCTACACTCTGGTGTGTCTGAGAAAATTGACATCATCTGGAATTCACACGACAGACTACACTGCAAAGTAGTGTGTGGGGGACAGCTGAGAGACGCAGACATGACGGCTTACTCTTCTTCTGGTGTTTGACTAAATTATGAAAACATCCACATCTCAGGAAAAGCGTGGAATACAGTAGAAAACTTGGATGCAGCTAGACTATTCGGACTTCGCAGATGGTCCGGCCCTTCTACCACATACGCACGAACGAATGCAGATTAAGGAAGCCAGTGTAGTAGAAGCCTCGGCATCAGTAGGCCTTAACATACACTAGGGAAAAAGTAAGATCCTCAAATACTACATGAAAAACCCCTAACCCAACCACACTCTGGAAGAGATGAAGACTAAAGTAGCTATTGACTAAAAAGATGTGTCGACAAACTTCCCAGCCTTCATTTTTAAAGTGTACAGGGAACAGTCTCAGAAATATATGTTTATTAACAACTCAGTTTAACTACGATGACTCGCTATTAACCACTCACTCAAAGCTCCCTGAACTTTTACGGGTCTCCTCAACTTTAGGTGACGCTTATCCTGCCAACTTTCGATATTGCACACGAAAATATCTTGACAATCCAATGGCCTGTAGCTCCTTCTAAGACAATAGAAACAAAGGCTTTTTATCTCCTGCCTTTGCCCACCTATCGTCGACTGCTAATGTTCAGGATCGGGAACATCCATCAATTATGTGACTGTTTCATGATATTACGCATGATGACGGCTACAGTGTGAAACAGGTAATCTTGTTGAAAATTTGTTTACTACTTGTTGCAATCCGCCCAAATCTGTCGAGTAATATTCTTGCGCTAAATGATACAAAATTCTGTCAATTCGCCAAATATATGCTCAAGACAACCTGCTATCACTCTTCAGACCGTTGAAACCCGTCTCATCTGTAATACCGGAGGAAACCTAATTTACATGCAACCTAGAGTTCATAGAGGGTAGTCCATGTGCTCAAAGGTTGTAGAACAATTTTCCATTTTTATTGCTGGCCTAGACGGAGTTCCTGAGTCATCGTGTTCTATACAATAACTTTTATTCAAGTCTTTTAGCAAGGCCAGGCTAACTTCCTTTATTCTGCCAAACAACTGTTTCAGTATATAACATGCCCTAAGATAGAGGGTGGTGTATGCATGATGCATTCCTCGTGTTCCTTCGCTTTACAATTAGGTAACAAAAATAAGAGCTGCTGTTCATTATCTTTGACTTTGGATACAGATTTCAGCTCAAACTGTCTGATATAATTTATCTTCGTTAGTTCGCTGGTTGACCACTAAAACCATTTAGTTCTTCCTCCAGGAGCTCAAGACCCACACACAGTGATGATTTTATCACCTTTCTCTTGTTTTTTTGGATAGTCTAACACTTTTGTTTTTTATAAAGAAAATGCCTTTCTAAGGTCATGATGAGAACGGCTAATGAAACGGAAAACATACTTCTGTCGTCTGACATTACAATTGGGAGCAGAAGATAATACAGTACTCATTCTTTCATTTAGCGTTAAGGACCCGAACTCTCATTGGAGGCACAGTAGTTGTCGACTCAGTCTAAACTTCAACTCTCCAACTTCTAAAATTTGTCTTTCCCTGAACTTCCTTTCTTTCAACGCTGCTAGGTTAATCGTGGAAATAATTTTACTATATCAACTAACTTAACTAACGTTAGAGCCGTGACGTGAAAACGCATCAAAAAGGGCTTAACGCCCGATTGCATTTCTTCTTGGTTCAACACTGAGTCTGTAGTGATCATCTTGTTGCGCTTACTAGGGATTCCAATGTTTGTCTGCAGATGATTACTGCTCTTTTGAGAACCCTATAGACGAAATAACAAGATTCTGGCTGAACACAGAACTTAAGAGACAAAGTTTATTCGATTAGGCCAGACCACGTTCTTCTGTATAGCAAACTATGTGTCCAATATAAACGGTTCTAATTTAATAAGGAGAACAAATCATATCAAAAGTGTAAATGACCTCAAAAGGTACACCTGTGCTATACAGTCAAGGATTTCTCTATCACAAACTAACATGCCGAACAACAAAAATATAGTTGACAAACAACAGTCTGACACCTGAGAATAAATAAAAATATTCCTAACAAGATGGGATCAAATGTCCATCTGCAAAAACTCCAGCAACCTCTCCAAGCAGACAGTCACAGGTTAACATTCACGTACCGAACCACGCCGTGAACTTGACTTAAGTCAAACACGACCTAACTGTTAATAGTCCGGCAATATGTATCAGTAGAAATAAGTAACAAAAGGTAAATCTTCAGCCAAGGCCGCATGATGCGCGGTTTAAAGAGACTTGAATATAGAGTAAAATACAAGACAGGGAGAAGAAAAAATTAAATGAAAATACTGCCCATCAGAATGCTGTATAGGGATTTTCATTGTATTTATTCCGTTAGAGTTGTAGCTAGTTGAACTGCCAATTGCTGAATTTCCAAATAGAATACAATATTTGCGTGAAAAATTTAAAAGGTCTACCTTATCCCAATATTTCTGCGAATTTACCGTACACCGAGAAATTTCCTCAAAATATTCTACCTCCCAGGGAGAAAATGAGCATTTCGGCGACACTATAATTTGTGAAGGAATTAATTAGATTAGGGACAGTTAATCTTGCATTTCGGCACGAAATTCATCCACCTATACAACTAAATGGCATTTTGTCATTTTAATAAATATCAGTTCTCGATGGAATCTCCCGATTTAGTTTTAAACTACAAATCTTAATCATCATTCATCATACTAAGTCCAACCGTCTTTTGACCCATACTGTATTGGGTTGTTTCAAATTCGTTTTAGCGTCATACATAGTTCTTTTAAATTATTTAGCAAATACTATATCTACATTCTATATTATTTGACTGACATGGAGAACGACAATATACTTAAAAAACAAATAACCATACTTTGTGGCTAAAAGGAATATTAACGATGTCCAGATCTACGTTACATCATTATCTTTGATACCAAACAAAGCACATGAAAAAGATGTTTACCTATGGAAATAGTAAACAAAGAGTACAGAAATTAGATTTTGTATTGTATGCATGTAATGCAGCGCAAGTTTATTGATCGGATGTTTTTATTATATCAGCGACCTCAAAAATCCCTAATTAAATTGAGTAAATAGTCAAGGTTGGGCACTGTTACGCAATCCAATACTAAGACGAGATAGCTTCTTTTTAATTGCGCTCTATGTTGGTATCTGTCCAATCTGTCAAATTGTTTTATTCAATGAAGTGAAGTTATCTAGGCCTATGGAAGAGACTTTTAATGAAGACATTTGGCGTCTACAAATGCTAGTATGTGTTACTTAAATAATCTTCGCCGGGATAATATTAATCATAACTACGAACAATTTACATCTTACAACACAGACAAACTATAAACAATAATACACATAAAGTATAGTTAAATGATCGTCATTTATAATTAGTGAATTCTCTTCCTTGTTTTATCAATAATTTATATGTTACAGAAAGTAAATTTACGTGAGAGTTCAATGATGAATACTTGAAAACATCTTAAAAGATTCAAACCCTTTATATCCCATCAACGCAATACAATACAACATGCAGGCATTACAACAACTCTCACCATTAATACTAAATATAACCATCTCATAACTAATTTATCAGTGATAATAGAACCACGTGTTTATACTATTAAACGTTTCTCAATGAATAAATTAATAATAAGTAGACCATTTGAATTTTGTGATTAACATTTTCACTTGGTAAAAAGTTTAGATGGTGTTATTTATAGTGATAATAATAATAATAATAATAATAATAATAATAATAATAATAATAATAATAATAATAATAATTCGAATAACGAAATATCACAAAATAGGCTGTAAAATACGACTATTGTAACATACATTTAGATTAGTATATATGTATTCACACCTAAACACAGAGAATGATACAGCTACACAAAATATACGCAAAACTATGTATATCCTTTTGTGAGTACTTCAACTGAGCTTTAAAACAAATTAAAAGATATGGATGAAAATCGAAAACAAAAAAGGAAGAGAAGCAGCTACAATAAATTAGTGTTCGATGAAGGAAACCAGTTTACAAATGAACAAATAGATATGAACGAAAGGAAGTAACAATTAATTTCTAAAAAAAAACGAAAATGCTTTGATATTATCCTGAATAAGTATGTTTCAGTGACTACGATAATGATAAGATGGAAATTCTACAAATAAATGGAAAAATTCAGGAACAGAAAAGTGATATATATATATATATATATATATATATATATATATGAACAAGTGTGCGTGAATTACAGCTATGTGATTACTAGTTACAAATGAGGTAAGTAATGTATGTTGATAATGATGATAACAATGATCATAATCACTACGCAGAACCAGTTTTAATCTGGATAAAGTAAATGATCTGCATAATGAAAAGAGTTGTAAAAATGAGAGATTTCTGACGAAATATTGACATTTGACCAGTGGATATTTTTCTTACTGGTTGTTGATGATGATGGTGATGCTGATGATGAACAATTACAACAACCAACTGCACAATTTGGACAAGGTTTTAAGTTATGTGAATTAATTAGTCCACATGCAACAGTACCAGGTGAATTGGTGATAGTTATAGTAGGTCTAACACTGAATTTTAAAAAAGCAAGAATAACAAACGAAGAGGAGGAATATTTGTAAATGATAATTAATAAATTTATAAGGGTAATAAATTAATTGAGATTTTTGTTTAAAAATAATTTACATACTGTAACTCTCATTACTGCAGGTGAAATATTTTCTTAAATATGAATAGCAAGCTGTGTTACAGTTACGAAATAACAACTTTTATGATGAATAAAGATAACTACATAATACAATTAAAGACTGAAAGAAAAGAGAAATCTAAAATGGCACACTTAAACACAAACTTGTATTTGCTGGTTTTCTTCAGGTTTATGTAGAAAGATAATCGAATATATTGAAGATAAATTCGCTTCTAAACAATATGAGATAGAATGATATTTAGATTTTGCCTAGTTATTGAACGCTCTACAAATGCTATACAAAACAATCATTTCTGAACTTGTGTCATCAGGTTACAAATTGTTTTCATAAGACTGGCGTCATTGTTTTTAGTCCGGTTCGACTACTATTGAGACAGAGGATGGAGATGAAACTGCGTGGAGGTTAGTGTAAGATACTGAACAGATAAACTTTCAGTTCACACGTATTTATAAATATACATCGGAGGACTGATCTTGCCAAATGAACGATCTTTTCGCTCATTAAACCTCGCTTATGCCTGTAATTGACTTACCACGCAATCTTAGAAAACTGGCTAATTGTCTGATTGGTTTGGCAAATAACCAGGCAAGAATTACTGCTAAAACGTTAATATCGCAATCAGTAATCACTGAAAGTGGAAGTTTGTTACTCTTCATAGACTAAGTATTTGTACTTTAGTCACATACTGATTATGTGCCTAATAATATATATTGGAGCAAAATAGCATTATTTGGAAAACTTATTTATGCTCGAACATAAGATAGAACTACTGATTGAGTTTAAGGGGGAACTGCAGAATAAACTGATAACAATAAAAATTAACTCCTATCTTGAGATAATCTGACGGGGTTATTAGTCAGCTAATTAAACAGATGTGAAGGCGGTTAGTGATTGACAAATAACAGATTTTCAGTCAAATGACTTCCGCAGCCTGATCCGAACTAATCGATATAGAAACACACATACCAGTTGGTTATAACAAAAAAGAGAAACAACTTGCATAAAAAATACAAATTTATACAATGACTGATATCAACGGTGAGTAGTAAAAATTTTACCTAAATATCGGAGTTAAGGAGGAGCTGGGAGTTGTTGAGGTTTAGCGAAAATACTATTTTGAACAAGATGACCATCAGTGAGAATGTAGCAAATGAAAACAATCATTTACAGACTATTATTAGATAAATTTCTCAAATATCATGTACTGACGAATATCAAGAAGACAAGAGCATAATAGTGCATCAAATAAAGTAACACACCAAGCCCATTTTTATGACTATTTGAACTTTAAGGTAGGTCAGTCAACGTTATCCAGGCCACAGCTTAACATTGTGCACGCAAAATACAGTCACTTAGGCTAGTGGACACATTGAAACTTGATCGATAGAATTATGTCGGCATTGAAGGACTTGAAATAAATAGTGATCATTACACATTGATCAATCAACTAGAAGAAAAGTCGATGGAGATGAAAAATAGGTACTTGTTGGAGGAAATGACTAGGCTTCACATCAAAGAAATGTAAACATCATTGTATTTCGTAAAACCAGCTAGCTCATTTGGAATGCAACTGTTGTGGATTGGTTTTATACAAGCAATAGCTACATATAACTTTAGTACGGATTTACTTGATATTGGCAATTTACAAACCCAAAACATAACAAAACAACCTCATAAATATAAAATGAAACAGAATTATACAGAAAACTTACAATTCGACTCCGACAGGATTCCCATTATAAGAATCTACCGTCAATGTGTTATTCATATCACCATTATCGCCATGGTAACGAGATACTCTCCACAGACTAGTTTTACTAATATGATTATTGGCACACAGTTGTAAAGTTGGACAAGACTCAAATATCGCCAGAAGTACATTACGGTTCAAACCGAACCACCATGGATTACCAGGACCAGATGATAACGAAGCATATAAGAACATACTAAACAATACAGGTATACAAATTAATAATGCACTACTTTTTGAAGCAGAAAGATAACCATCTAATCTCAACCCTAAAAGGATTAATGAGGTGCATAAGAAAATAACTATTAGTAAGTGTGAAGCATAATAACAAACAGATAATCTACGTTGGGCTACAGGAATAAAGAAGGCTGTAAAGTATGTGATTAGTGCAATAGTTAAACCAGCAAAACAAAATAAAAATCCCATTGCTAATAATATGAATGATGGGATAAAGGTGACAATCCAATTTGAACGTATCCAATTGTCAAGTCTAGCAATTAAAAATAATAATTGTAATAGATTAGCAGCGATACATAATTCTAAGGTAAACGAGCATACATGACGTGAACGTGGTATGAAAACAAATGAATCTGAGTTATTGTTGATAGTAGTATTATTGTTAATACTATTATTGTTGATAGTGTTGGTACTAGTAATGGTAGTATTACCGGTATTGTTATTTAAGGATCGTGAATGATGTTGCCTTCGACGTCGTGCATTTGCTGTAAATGTTGCTCTTGAATCTATCATAACAAAAAGAAATCCGAACACACCCAAAGCACCAACAACTAGTAATGGTGATAAAATAGTTAGATAAGTAAGATTAGATGATTCAATTGATAAATGAATGCATAATAACACTTCAGAACACGTGATAAGAAAGTGAAAAAATGCTGATACAGACATTGCTTGAATGTAAGGTAGAGCAGGGTCATCACGAACAAGAAATGTACTATGCTCTGAATCATCAACATGAATTCTCCAATGTTTACACCATACTATTAAGCCAACTAACCAGCCGACAAAAACAATCGTTTTCCACAACCAAAGTGGTAGAAATATTGTCCAATACGGAATTATTAAGACATTATCCATTCTAGCCGCAATTAATAACAGCCACACACTAACACATACACTAATGCATATTGTACCTTCATTAAGATTTTCAAGTGCTTTTTGAAAAGAAGCCATGTTATCAATTGACAAAACAATAAGTTGTTAAAGATTTTCAAATCTACTGGCAAAAACTCATTGAAACAGATGAAGCGTAATGCAACTGGACTACTGTTATTATTATTTTCACTGTTCTAATGAGCATTTCAGTTATCTTCATTGGATATGTGCATTGTAGAACCTGGAATAAAAATACGAGGAATAAAATACATTGTTTATTTTTCAAAAGGAAAGTAGAAAAGCCACTCTAATGAGGAAAATACTATTACACTAACCAAATGAATGTACTTGATAAAAGATTGATTAGCTAAACTAAAAACTAATGTCGACCATTAAGATAATGGATGTGTATTTGTATTATTACGGTTTAGACGTGTATAGAGTAACACTAACCGTAAACTCTGTGGCCTAGAACCAGGGAAATAAACTGGTATTTAGAAAATATCTTGCACTAGACTGAACATCATTGATTTTGTTATCTAGGGCATGTGCTAATGACTATGAGTGGAGCAGCATCAAAAGTACATAAATAGCTTGGAATCAGGGTTTGTCAACTGCTCCAGGTTGATCATCTGTATCCTTCCATTTCAGCCGATTCCTTGAATTAAAAGCTGATAATTGAGCACAGTAAAAAAATCTTACTTTACATAACGCAAAGTTATCGACATTTTACCACAGTAACTAATGTGAGTTAAGATTAGTGGTTACTGAGTATGAAATTAGATATGAGCCATCTAGTGTAATTAAGGATTCAAAGATACTAAAAATGCATGTATTGTAAACACATGTATTCTACGCTGTGGTCATGTCTTACGTTCATAATGCAATAAAAACAAAACTGATCTATGAGAGCGGTGTATGCTACTTATGTTGACAGATATAAGCAGTATGAAACACCAACCAGAAATGGAATGCTTATCAAAAGAAGGTTGAACCGAAGAAAACAAAAGGAATTGAGAATAGGAAGAACCATGAAGGATGTAAATAACAACTGATGGAAGATTTGAAAACAAAGCATCTAAGATATGGTTTTCATAATTTACGAAGACACTGTAATTTTGCGCTAAATAATAAATTGGTTTACTCCACTTGAGTTCTCGTTTACTACATAAGAACGAGATAACTACAGATGATAACATGAACGTTGGGGTTTTGCACAAAATTCAAATCCCACGTATAACTACCACCAGAAGTATGTTTTTATACTGCTCGAAACGTTTGAAATGGCAGAAAGTTACATTTTGCCACTATAAAGTAAAAATGATAGATAAGGGTATTTGGTGCTCGACTATATCTTCGCAGATTTTATATAACAGCTAAACCGACTCTATCTTTAAATCCCAACCACAAACTCTTTAGCCTGAAAATTTTAACCTGTATCATTTTATTTCGTGGACAAACGAATCAGACAGCGCCTCTAAGATTTTTGCATGGGATATTTTAGTATATTTGGCTACAGAGGGTTTCACGTTATAACTAGTAGTAGTTTTTGATGAAAACTTTAACCCTAAACCGTTAATACTTATCTTAGGTACGCAACCCTAAAGAAGAAAAATTTAGGGGCCCATAAAAATCTAATTAGGTCCCTATAAGGGCTCAGAAATACGGAGAGACTATATACGAAAGGACAAGTCATTGCTTCTCTAATTTACATTCAGACTAACTTGTAAAAGACTTCAGTGGATTCGTCAAATGCATGAAATAAGCTTGTGTTTTGTAACACCATTTTCGTCTACACAAACATTCTATAGACAAAGAAGTTTTTCCAGTCGGCTAAGAAGTGGCTGGAAATTGGTCGTCTTTCTAGACTCGTCTTCATACACACATTAAGACATCAGCATGTGCTTATTCAAGTTTGAGAGTCCTGTCCTCTGTTGCTCATCTACACCAATATTACCTACATCCGTGTGAGTTGTTTCCGGAATATCATCATCACCATTTAGGGAAAACACTCAAAATTTTCCCAAAATCGGGAGACTGGGATATTACATATATTAATTTGTGCGAAAACCGATATTTCCCTCAAATAAACGATGTCAAGGGGGAAATATACTTTTCCGCATTACCGACGTTGTCGTCCCCTTTATTCCTAACCCGAGCTCCCAATTTTGGCGAAAATTTGACACATTTTTGGGAAGCCGCTATAATGAATTTTGCGGAAACTTGGGGGAAATGTCATTAAAATCCCTAAACTTCCTCAGACCTGGGGAAATTCCCCAAAATTACCCTTCAACCCTGGTCAAGGTCATTTGACTTTGGGAGTTTCTTTTTCTAGTCATAACTATAGTTTCTATAGAAACTTTTTTGATGGATTAGGGGACAACCTTACGCTAACCCGCACAGAAAAGAGTTCGGGACTTGGGATATTTAATACGTAGCTTATAAGCTGTTGATCTTAAGAAACACTATTACCTATGAAGCAAGCCAAGGAAAACGATGCTTCAATAAACTAACCAAACAAAAATAAAGATGTCTTTTACGTATACGGCTTGCGAATTCTACTTTTAAATTATATGAGGTCATGAAGAACACCAACCTTAGAGAGAATGGAATCCTAGTCAAAGAAAAGTGTTGCGGTCTTAACGCTATTGGCGCCTAATATTTTCCGTTCGTACTGTAGTTCCAATACTCCACAAAGTCTGTCAAAATGACTGTGGTTACATTTTTTAAATATCATATACTGTTTGATGCATAGAAAAGCTCATATTGTTATTGCATTTTTAACACGGGCCAAGAAACACTGTATTGTCTAGTACCATGTCAAGCCCACATGATTTATTCTAGCATCCAGACAGACCAATCTATGCATTCTTCCCGAGTCTTAGTTTCACCTTATCAATTATTTGCTAACTAACTTTGACTGTTTTTTATATGGGCATATTTGTTAGTGACTTACCCTATTGTCCGACTAAAAATATAGAGCTGTAGCGGTAAATATATCCACAAAACAAAATGGCTCTATAAGTTTTCGACATTGGATGCTGAACACATTAGTTCCAACGGACTCACCTATCTGAAGTCACTCGATCATGCATCCGCATCAGATCACAAGTGGGAACGCCGTGCTCAACAACTCCTGCAATCGCTAGCCGGATTAGATCAGACGATGCTCCATATATTGACAGTCTATCAAATATATCTTCGAACCTCCTCGCTCCTGTCTTTTGATTTCACTTAGTGGGTACGATTCATAGTAGAAGGTGTTACTGGTTAAAGCTTTGTCAAACTCCGAATACCTGTGGCATCTTCAAGTTAGATGTACCTGTTTATATATGTTTCACCAAAAGCATACATGGTTTACTTCAGCTTGAGTTATTTCGGTTAAGTTTTGGCATTTTTCAAATTCCTTATGAGTTGCTTTTTCTTCGACTGCTCTGCTTTTACATCTTTTGAGATGGTCTGCTCTACTCATAAATGTGGACGGCCAAATGGTTTCTACACAGTGGATGTAGGAATTCTATGTGATGAGTATAAAAGGCGTGTACCCGTTTAAATAAGAAACACCCAGAGCCTAACACTCATTGACTTTATTGATTTTATTGTTTAAGTAAGAAGTAATCGGCCTTCTGGTGTTGGACATAAAGAAAGTGTATGGGAGCTAAACTGGTAACATGAGTATTGACAACGCATAATATGTCAATGTACTTAGTGCTGATGGGAAGCAAGTCAAATACCCATTTGTGAAACGTCCAAAATGAATTTAAGGATGAGAAACAGCTGTATATTGGTGGTCACGATTTAACAGTAGTACCTGAAGACTAAAATGAATCATTCACCTCTCCAAATAAGTCTAGATGTTGCTATCCCAACTGACGGTAAATAGAGGATAGCGCGGAAACAAAGATAAAGTAAAATGTCAAAAAGCGCGCCCTTTTAGTTGACAAGTCTTTGATAAACGCACGCTTTGAGACAGAGTACTCCACTGAAGTCCCAAAGTAAGAACGATCTGATCTCATTGAACATTATCGTGAGTGATCAATTCGAATCAAATGACTGTGAAAGAAAACCAACGAGGCATAAAACGATAACGCAATCGAAAACCGCGAGCACGACTTTCGAAGGAATCTAACCCATACGTAAAAGAAAATGACTCTGTTAGAAGGCATGCACACGCTTTGGGGTTTGTGGAATTCGAAATCAGAAATATAGTGACATAAAAGATTTAAAGTGTGTGTATTGCAAAACTAATAAAACCATGTAAGTGGGTTGCAGGCGAGACCGAACTAAGAAGGGTGTTTAAATACGTACTCAGAAGTTACGATTAAAGGTACGTTATACTAAATAATGGAAACGAATCTAGTAGTTTGAATATTTCTCTCTGACCTTACTGAGTTAGAAAGTCGATAGCAAAATATCGAAGGAAACATTAGGATGCAGAGTTTTCGGGTGGTCAGGTATTCAGATTCAATGCTTCCGAAACCTGTATGAGTAGAACGAGTTATTCTCGATATACCTTAAATGAGTGCTACTTAAACACTCGTAATCTGAGAAATAGAATGTCCGAGCCAATGTTGGTGGTTGTCGAAGATAACAGTTTGTCGGTCGATTTGACATCCATAAATCTTAGTAAGGTATTCGGTGAGGTTTCGCATCCAGGTTTTGTGCAGCAGATTTCGAGCATTGGAATAACAGATGCGGTGCAATAATGGGCAAGTGCAGTACAACAAGATACGTCATAGGCTCACTACCCCCTTTTCTCTCAAGTCATCAAGTATATTGTCTGTAGATGATATCAGAACCTGGAGAACAATAAGTGGTGGGTTTCGAAGTTAAAACCTAGAAACCAATTCTACGGAGAATGTGCTAATACACGTCGCACACGTTGATATATGCCGGTATTCTGTCAACGGTACATCGCCTCCATGCGTGTAGGAAAACAAGGACCAAAGGGTAAGTGTAATTTACAACTTTAATATAGTGCACATGGCAACTTAGCAGTCGCTTAAGGTGCTGGATAATTATAACCAGTATTCAACTGCTGTGACGAAGGGATGCTTGGAACTTTGTATCCCATCAACTTAAGTATTCTCGATAACTTCCGTCATTTCATTTTATCACTCCTCACATTCTCATCATTATTGTGTGGAGCATATGCATCCGGTGCTCCTTTGTACCAATATTAACGTGTTCAAAAAAATAAAATAAAACTACGGAGGAGCACTTCTATAGTACTGTGTCCAAGCAGTCAATCCATGTCTTGTTAAGGAATCTAAAACAATCGAACATTTTCAGCGGGATAAAAAACAGGAAATATCTTTACAAACACTTTTTTGATGAAAGCTAAAAAAACGCTTGCACCTTTCTTCTTCATCGTATCGTAGGACACGAGGTGACCTTATACTGACATTCTGTATGTTTATTAACAAGCTAACTGATATCCTTTCTTTCTCCTCGAAAACAGACTATTTTCGAGTTCATGGTAAAAAGGGTTTAAAATCAGCGATCTCACCAACTTAGATTAGAGTTTAGTTCTTTCCATTTAGTAGACAATGAATGGAATGTCTTGCCTGAACATGAGGAATCAGACTCATCATTGAACATTTTAGAGGGCTAGCTAAACCTCAACTAGAAAACAAGCTGCAAGAATTTACACAGCTCGACCAGAATTGTATCCTTGTTACTGAATACTTATCCTCACAACCAATGCCGTGTTCAAAAATCTTTAAAACAACTCCATTGATGGTCATTCATAGGGTCATGTTTCGTACCGTTTCGAGCTATTCGTTGATGTAGGTTTTATTGCATATGTACTTCCACCGTATAATAATCCTTAATTACAAACATTTATCCAGACAACTTGACGTTATTTTTTGTGGTAGCCAAATTGTTGCCATATGTATAATATATATATATATATATTTATATATATATATATATATATATATTTATATATATAAGTAATATTACATTCGTTCGTAACACACTTCAGTGCAGTTTTTTCGAATCACCTAACCATTACCTCCCCTATGATGATATCATCACAGACATCTGTTGATTAACTTTGTATATTCCGAGTTCATCAGCGCTATAGCGGGGAACAAATTAAATAATTCTGTAAGTCTTACAGTTTGAGGCTGAATTCAATGCTTTTACCGCAGCAAAACACCTTCACTCAACCTTTCACATCGCCATGTTAACATGGCGTACCTAATTGTGATCCGTAATTTCGCATCCCTTACATCTGCTGGCCAGCCAGTCGGTCTTTGGAAACGTTTGGTTAAGCCACGACAAATAATTTCGGGAAAATGGCACAAAAGCCGAAAATCACCCCAGATCTGGGAAGTTCCTCAATTCTGCAGCTTACACCGAACGCATCTCGACAAATCAAGCAACAAATTTCTGTGAAACAAAGCGTATCTGTGGTTGAAAAAAAAGAATAATATAAAGGAACTGCCACAAAATGCTTTCCTTTTCGACTGTCATGGGGAAATGATGCAGGATCTCACATTTTGGCCCTCTGTCTTTGAAATGTTGCTGAATAGTCTACTTTTCGCACAAATTCATACCGAATACTTCACTTTTCGTTTAATTTACATTGTACGCTTAATTAAGCCCTTTATTTTTATAAGAAACCACACGAAAACTGCAATCGACATTAGAAAATGGTACATGGTTAAAGACATTTATCAACAAGAAAAAGACACCATATTGTTCAAGGACAATAATAACACAGATGCTCGAACAACGATCGTTTTGTGTTTTCATTATAAGTGCCAAGTTGTGATGTCATTTACGTAGATATGCAAAAGAAACTACAAGTAAATGAATTGTTAATAAAAAATATGTCGTTATTGATAAGTGCATATGAAACAAAACATGCTTTCGAAACATACAATTCATTAGTTCAGGAATTTCAAATGCAAATCAGAAATTCAGCACATGGTAAGAAAAGGTTCATTAATAAATAAGTCAAACATCAACACCTCGATGATGATGTCTTTCTTTAACTTCAGTGTTACTATTAAGAACCAAAATAATCTCCCTGTAAATTTCGAAATTTATTAAACACAAAAATTTACGATATCAAAGTGCCGTAAATTGTTAAACAACTGTCAACTCGGAGTATGATTAATGTTGTGTTTGCTAATACTGAACACCTCACCTATAGGACAACAGTGAATTGTTATAACTTTAGAATATCACATATATGTTCTTATTTTGTTCGATGACGCTTTTGTGCTTTGGCTCTCATATTGTGATTAGAAAAACTTTCTTACTTTGTATGTAGCTGTAAAACCAGCACTTCTGAAATAATCTTCTCAATGAAGCGCCAAGTTGTGTGAAATAGCTGGCAACTTCAGGTTTCATTACTTATGACAGAATACAGCGCGTGGACGTTTTCAGGCTATCATCCATTAACCGCGTAAGCATGGCCATCTGTGATGCGAATAAATAATCCAATGAATTTTGTTGCCCTTTAAATTTCTCCCTCGTATCTTCTTGCTAGGGACGTCCAACGTTCGCAGATCCTCTTCAGATGACAAAGGGAACTACAAACTTGATAGTATGATGTTAAATTTTCGTGTATGTTCTGGCCCATCGGACTTTGACGTTAGCTGCATAATGGCCGCACTTCAGTCTCATATAGCTGATATGTTCTGCAGTACAGTATGCAGCTAACAAAATCCTAATCATTTTCATTAGCTGGGCACGTGACTTGTTTGGCCGCTAAAACAATATCTAAACGCCTAGACTCGGACATTGAGGGTGATGCATCCAACTGTGTCGAACTAGTTTATTAACATTCTTAAATAAAACACACCTTCTTGGCAAGTGGTGAGATAAAAATGTCCAACAACCGAAATCCAGGATATTCAACATGGATGTTTCAAGTTTGCATCTCGGCCACATCCATGTCAACAGAATTGTTTTTCCGTCTCAATGCACCTCTACTACTGTACTTACCTTTTCAACTGCTCTTCGTTTAATGGCAAGGTGCTTTCGTCCGTAAAACCGTTGACACGTAACCAGCCAAATTGTTGATTGAAACCGATAAATTCTTTGTAATCTGGAAACTATCTATAGGGAACGACCGTTTCTATGTTTGTAACTGACCACAGTAGATCATCTTGCACTTCAGAGCTGACCAATTATCATCCGGTTGGGCACTGGTCTGCATGTGCATATTCACAACGTCCGTAGGATAGAGACAAGTTCTTTACCCCAAATCCACTGTTTAGCTGCAATTAAAACATGTCTTATGCTTAGTGCGTCGATATGTGGGAACTGCTTATTAGTCGGCTAAACAGTATATAAAAGGTAAGGAAATGTTTGAAAATAATACAATCGGCAAGAACTAAAAAATACATTCACATGAACGTATGTAGCAATGGAAAAATTACTGCATTCTTAACACGGTTAACGACAATACATTTACAGTCAACATCCTTAACGAAAACCCATATGTACTCATGACTAACTACTGAGTACAGAAATATTCCTGTCACTAGAATAGAATGGTTCAGCGAAATAATCACGTGGGCCTGTGAATGGTCTGAACTTCGTTATTCCTTTTTCTCCTATGTCATTGATTAGCTCAGGCTTTCCGTGTACTATTTTTACATTATCTGGCTTAAATGAAGTTATTTTAGTGTTTTTAAGCATAATTAATTTCTTTCCGGGGTCAGACTTAACGAATGTTTGTAAAGTAGTGATCGATATGCTAGCTTTCAACCTACCACTCAATGATATCTTCACAGCATAACGTTGGGCTACTTGCTTTGCTACGGCGTAACCGCGACGCATTGATTACTCAATCTGCCCCATACAAGACCCAAACAGGGGGGCGCAAGAAGAATCTGGAAGGTGCTTCAACAAGTGCACATTATAAACTAAGTTTCTAGGCCTATGGCGCCATTCGTATTTATTTAAGAAAATTAGGTAAATACTTCCCGGCCGAGTCTTTCTCACCGCCATGTAATCTCGAATGCGTTAGCAGATGCATCGCTAATGTTAAATGCTTGAAATTCAGCTACAATAGTTGTGGTGAACAATGTTTTAGAATTACGAGGCCTAAATACAGAAAGGATAATCGACACTGTCGCTTTCCATACTGAAACGAAGTCTAATATCCGACATTTACTCTGAAAGTCTGAAGGATTACTTGCGGCACAACTTGATATGAACATATTTATATCCATAATCACATAGTTATTCATGTTTCTAAGTCTTTTGTGATAGAAATCTATTCATAGGCTGATTAGTTTTTTTTGTCACACTTCAGTGTAACATGTGTATTGGATCTAAAGGGAATGTTCAAACCATATTAACGTCATGTGTTTCGAAATTGGAACAGCCTTGATGGTGAATTGATTGAATCTGCTAACGTAAACTACTATCATTTTGCAATATATATTCACCATTTGGAAACGTCATTCTTCAGTCAATGTGCCGACCCACTACTATATGCCTATCGCAAACTTTTTCCATTGTGATTAACTGTGTATGTAACATTCGAACGAGCTGGTGCGTTACGGATTACAGCAACCAGTTTAGTAGCTGTATTTATTGAACTTAACACTATGAAGCCCTACGTCTCTCACGTGTTTTAATTCAGAAATGCTGTTCACAGATACTTCTTTAAATTTGGCTGACTTTGTATTCCCTCCATAGATGCCTATCATGAACATGTGACTAAACCTTGGGGCAACGACGCGTCATAATATAGTACATAACTGTCTACACTTTGAAGGCTGCTTGGTAAATCTTGTACAAGGTCTAGAAAATCATTCACAATGCGATCAGTATCTCTGATGGTTTGACGACCATTTTTCATCAAAATCGTTAATGTCATATTAATCTGTTCTTTCCGGTCTATAGACTTCTGTGAACACAAATAAACGTCATCACATCCCAAAAGAAATGGATTGAAGGAGTGACTAGCTGCATCTGATATCAGAATTCATCTGTTAACAACTATTTGTTTTAAGTCCAGTGATGATGCTCGGCTGCATAAACCTATAGAAGTATTTAGGGTAACGGAAACTTGAGTCCATGTTCAAAACAGTGATCGAATCACGTTCAGTCGATATACTGACTGAAAGTGCTTTAGTCGTTCCAGAATACTCAGCTATGGTACAACTTTTCCTCATAATGTATTATTGAGGTTTTCATGTGCATTACGTCACTACAGATTAATGAGTATCGATGCTGAATCCAGTGTCTTTGAATAATTAACCAATAAAGTTCATATAATTTTGTTTTAATATAATGGGAGTTTTTCAGCAATGAAGTAGGTTCATGACAAACTTGTTCAGTCTTCTCATAAACCTAAAAGGTTTGATCGCACCATAATTTCCAGGTCAGTATTAGTTAGTAAGTGCATGAACAGATAGAAAGGGTACATGATTGACGAGAGACGAAAAATAACTTACGAATGTTTAAGATCCCACCAGGTTGTTCAAATTATCTAATCGTACAAATAAATCTGGATTAACGTACAAATCCAGGTTACAGATAAACAGATTATTATGCTTGGTGCCTGACATCAATCTTATCCACTTATTTGTAGTATCGGTCTTTCGGTAGTAAATATCGTATTTCGATAGAACAATGAGAAGACGGAGTTGATCTGAAAAATGTGATGTATTTGCGCTATACATTTCGAACAATCTGGTCACACATACTTGCCAAGGCATTTTTATATGAAAATTAATGAAGGTCAATAAAGGTGAAACAAATAGAAGTACAATTAAAATAAAATAAATAATCTTATTTTAATTGTACTTTTATTTGTTTCACCTTTATTAATTTTCATATAAAAGTGCCTTGACAAGTATGTGTGACCAGATTTTTCGAAATGTATAGCGCAAATACATCACATTTTTCAGATCAACTCCGTCTTCTCATTGTTCTATCAAAATTTATAAATGGGACTAATTGCTTTAAATATCGTATTGTTTCACATCAAGGAACTTGAGTATAAGTGACTCATCCCAGACAGGGGAAATATTTACAGGTGATGCTTAACTACTAAAATAATATAGCCGTTATAAATTTCTTTGAGGAAACCGAGATCACAACTTCATTTTCTGGGGTAGCCGTAATTTGAGGATAGTTCACAGTATGACTAGTACTGCATTCGACTTTTGAGTTCTTTAAAGTTTAGGCGGTTTCTCAATCGTTACCTTATCTAGGATTGAATTTCGAAACTAACTTTCTTAATTTTAAATTAGAGAACAAATACGAACAGCAAGTATACTCAGCTTTTGTAAATATTCTGTCTCTTGTATTAGAAAACACTACCATTTTTTCATTGCTTAGAACCGGTTTATTCTGTTTTCATCGTTTATTCAACCAATTTTTTTCTAAGTATAATCAATTTTTGTTAGATCATGTATAAAGCAAATAGTGAACTTGTATCTCAGTGGCTCACTGAAATAAGGGTTCTTGATGGGGGGTTTGGAACAGAAAGTCAGAAATTATCAAATCTACAAATAAAAGGACATTTGGCTTGGAGTTCCAGATTATTAATGGACGACCCAGAATTAGTTGTTAAAATACACAAGTCGTAAGTTTTGTATTTCTGTCTATCATCACCTATCAGTTCTATTGGAGTTGAACGATACACTACAAATATGAATTTATGCAGTTACTAAGTTAAACAGCATTTGTGCTACATAAGGTTACTGTCTGTAATTTCAGTCATTAAGAATTCGTAAGCTATTTTCGCTTAAAATATTACCAATTAGCTGTAGTTAACTCAATAATATGATTTCATCGTCAAGTCGTAATAAAGATAGTTGTACCCATAGTTCACCACTGGCATCATAAATACACCAATAGAATTTCCATAAGAAACCAATGTTTTTAAAGGGCAGTTTTCGTTGTTGCAGATTACAACTACAGAAAAACTTATAACTGCATAAGTACAATTTTTTGCATTTAGCTTATTAAAATTTGGAGTTGTGGATTCTTTTGTTTCCGATTCATAACCCTATCAGCTTATAAATCTAAGAGATTGTATACTTTGAGAGAAGTCGTTATATCACAGTTATCATGTTTAATTCAATCTGTAGATGGTATATCAATCACATTAAGAGTAATCTAATATTCAACACATTCTGTCGTGTCTAGTTTTACAAGTAAAAAGATTCACTGATCGGTTCCTCCGTCAGGTCAACATATCATGTAGTAAGAATTCCCTGTCCTCAGTTTTTATCTTTTAACTAACATTCCTTCCTAAGTTAAGTGTCAGTTGAAAAGATGATTATGTCTACAAATCACCACTTGATTATTATTAATCCTTGATAAGACAATTTAGTTACATTTGCTATACTACTGCAGAGTTTTCTGATCTTTCAATGCATAATGTTATATTAAAGCTTTTTGCGTGCTGGTTGTGATGTGATTTCTACGAACACTTATCAAGCAGCGCCCTCAACCTTGGTGAAGGCACTTGGTATAAATGATGGAGAAGCGAAAAACCTTATGCGTACTGCTGTACATCTAGCTCAAAGAGCACGTGAGGAAGAAAATAATTCAGATAATGCAAGTGAATTCCAACGAAAATTGCCTGTTCTTATTGCCGGATCTTTAGGTCCATACGGAGCATGCATTGCTGATGGATCAGAGTATACTGGGACGTATGCAAGCAAAGTTTCATTCACTGAACTAGTGGAATTTCACTTATCAAGAGCACAAATTTTATTGGAATCAGGAGCAGATTTCATAGCATGGGAAACTGTTCCACTTTTAAAAGAGGTTTCATCAATATGTGAAGTTATGCGCAGACTACCATCGGCATGTTGCTGGATATCAGTTTCGTCACCAGATGGTAAAGAAACATCCGGTGGGGATTTACTAGCTTCAGTCGCGTGTGAGGTAGCAAAGTGTGAACAGGTACGTCAAACTTTAATCTAAAATGAAATTAAGATCGTTGTCTCCTCAGATGTATATACAATTTATTAGACTTTGTGTTTTGTAGGTGAATTTCACTTCAACTATATACATAAGCATAGTAGCTATGTAAGCGAACTGTGCTAAGGAACAATCTCCCTCTAAATGTTCAAAATACATGTATTAGAACCAGAGAAATCTAAATGATGTATTGTTAATTAATCCAGAGACAACACTTACCACTAATGGTACTATTCAACTGACCAAACTGAAGTACATGATGTGGAGTTCTAATCTACTGCTTAACATTTCCTACTTATGTAATGATAATAGTAATGCTCAAATATGAATTAGCTGCTTGTAATCTATCATATATTATAATTTTTTTTAGCGATTTCAGGTATGAGTATACTTTATGATGTGCTGTTAAACTGTTCATATTAGTGCTTAGTTGTATTTAGTTTATTACTAACTTATCACACACTAAACACTGATAATACATGTCCAACATTATACTACTAGGTTTTCGGTGTTGGAGTTAATTGTAATATACCACATGATTTTATTGGTAAGGGACTTGCTAACTTAAATTCACAAACATGTAAAGAATCAGAAAATACTTCCAGTAAATTACTATTATTTTACGCAAATGATGGTCGTTTATGGATACCTAATAATGGCGATAAAAAGCAAGAACATTTTGGTGATCATTTACAATACAATCATGAAAGTTGGTTTCAAAACACCATCAAATGGGCAAAACGTCGTGAAATTTCAGATGATGAACACTTACATTATTCAGTAAATTACAAACCTCCTTTGGCTCAGTGGGTTGGTGGATGTTGTAATGTTGGACCTGAGCGTATAAGAAGGCTTGCAAAATGGATGAAACCTGATGAATTTATTTGCTGACTGATGCTTGATATTCGACTAACTGTTAGATTATATGATTATTTCAACTATCCTACTACATTCATGCTTTACTTTGTATGAATTAAGCAGTTTTAAACGAACAGTTCGATGATTAAATATATCGCGTGAATTCTATACTTATTTAATGAACTTTGTGGTAAAAATTATAATTTATTGAAACATGAGTATTTAGGTAACTGTTTTCATGTAACTCAGATTAAATGTATTGACTGATACTAACCATTAAGACAAAATAGTAGTATAACCTAATACAACTACATATATAACTAAATATGCATATCCAACGAAGATATAGAAATACAATAAAAAAGAACATGTATTTTTCTGAAAAATCAAAGAATTAATTTGCACATAGTAAATACATTTGGTGGGCATTTTTTATGCTACAAGTTTTATACATCCTTTTAATAATTTCCACTCATTGCAATCACTTGGATACAATGGTTTCGGATAGAGTTTCGTTCCATCATGATAGGCGAGACTTGTATTTTTAAGAAAAAAAACAACATTATTATAAAGATGTTAAGGAGGGTCACATTTTTTTCAGCTAAAAAACGGTTTGTGAAATAAAACGATTCCACAAGAGACCAGCTTGCTGGTTGAATTGTGGATTCAGATACAAGGCTGTTGATAACGGATGTTCCAGTTCGCACCATAGTCATTTTAGTAGGGCTTAACAAAACGTTCTGTCATATCACAGAGTATGCCAATATCATAAGCTAAAATCCCGTATGACAATTCCCATTTAGTGTGATCATATGAGATCCAAATCTGCTTAACATTTTCAAGAATTCATGACCTAAAATCCTAGAATTTAACTATTGAATATGAAAGCTATAATTAACAGTCTACAGCGAAATTAATGATTTCATATTACTGCAGTTGCCAGCCTACGTGTATCCATGGTTAGCTGGTGTTACTCGACTATCGGCTTGTCTAATATCTGCTTGCAATTAAACCAACTATTAGGAACTCCACGTTTAGAAAATGAGCACATTACAAATGAAACGTGAACCAATTAGGATTCAAGTATTCGAAGGATTTGATTGTAGTGAATTCTATGAATACTTTACACAGATGAAAAATACTCGGTAGATTATCAAGTGTGACAGGACTACACGATGAGCTCAGACGAAAGCAATCAGAAATAGCTAATAGGCATTCAAAATTAAATCAAATAATGCCAGCTGATCTAAGGGAAGACGAAGTGCATTCTCAATCTTTATGAAGTTGTACTGTAGATGATGGCCAGATTCTCGTTAAGTTTCTTAAAACCGTCATAAACATATTAAAATACACTTATCTCCAAACGTTTATTTTCAAGTACTGTGATATGTAAGTCATGCACACAACAGCTTGTTACACGATGAAAAGAAAGACTAGGATTTGTGTCACGCATAATGTGTACTGCAAGTAATGTAGTCAAAGTGTATACAGGTCAATCATATAGATCACATTTTGAAGATTTTTTATTGATATTTCAGGCTGAGAGACAGAATTATTATGTTATCTACAAATAAAATGCTACTCAAATCACTAGTACATTACTCTTCACTAGTCGTGGTTATGATCTCAACAACTTTGTGTATAAATAACAGCTTTCATTCTCTAATTTATATTCAGTCAGTTGACCCAGTAGTTTCTTTTATCTTCATAAGTATTTGTTCGAAATTCGAGTATCGGTTCTACAAACTAATTACCCTTCATCAATTAATTGTATCATCAAAACAACATTTTAAAAAATCATTTGAGAGAACCTTGTGAACTCTTGGGAAAAAAGTTATCAATAATTAATACGATGTAAGGATACGGTAACCGGATAACCCACAAATATCCATTGTCTAATGTAACATAACCTGGTGATTGATATTTCTCACTACGAACGGTATCCGAATGTAAATTTGTGCTAGATTTTATACGATCTTCATAAAAATAACTATCATCATCAAGTGGATGACTTTGATCATAATCTGAATCTATTACACTATCCAATTTTTTATCACAGCATTGATCTAATGTATGTCCTAGGTGAAAGATTGGAGTAAGTTTTGTTGGTCCCGGTCGTATACATGGTTGAAAACGAACTTGAATAGGAGCAGCTGGTATAGCTAAATATATTCGTGATAACTGTGCCATGACAGTTGAATTTTTTGTATAATTAGATGATTTCATTGTACTAGTATTACCACCTACATCCCATTCACTAGTAGGATTAGTGGAATGACGTGTATTACTGAGCAATACATGTGAGGTTGGGTGATGACATTGGCATGGCATGAAAATAGGTAGATCACGTGTTAACAATGAGTGAACGGCTCGTCGAACTTGGCTGCTTTGCATTGGGCCATCCATAATTCGGTCAGTGCCAGTGATAAAGAATCGATGACCCATTGGACATTCCATTTCAAAACCAATAAATAATTTCACTGTATCTGATTCTGTATAGATATAATGAAGTGATAGAAAAATTTTTTAGTAACTGTAGTCTCAGCCTGAAATTAAACATTCATTTTAAGCTTTACATTTTTAGAACACCAAGTATTTATAATATTTCCAACTAACAGCAAACGAAGTGATTACTGTTGTTACTCAAAATGACGAGCTCTCAAGACATTCAACAAATCAAACGTGTCGAATAAATATTACTAGAAGAGAATTATTTACCAAGAGCCGAGCGCATATATCCCAGCTTTTACTCTGGTTAAGACTGATTAATAGAGAAAATAAATTCGTGACAACACTTTTTTTCATATCATTTTATCAACTTAGATCTCTAGATTCAAAAGATCTTTATTGCAAGGGAACAATATGGACTATCCAGTGAAAGTAATCTTATTTTCTCACGAAAGACGCGAGATACTGTTAGACTTTTCGCATGTATTCTTCATAGATCTGGTTACTTAGTTACATTACATAAGAACTACAAATGGATTGATAAAGGCTATTATGTAAATATCATTACCAAGGTCTGACTTGGAAATTTCAAATAATTTCAGAACATGTTAGGTTGCTGCTAATATATATGTTCTCTGAAGAATTGGCTTACACTGAGCAATGAAAGTTCAGAAAAATTAATTTTTCTACTTAGCAGCATGTTACAAATATACCATTTTCATTTACCATGGTCATATTTAATATGTGTTATCCACATCGTATACAACAGTGATTAGTTGTATTTTGTTGCTTGAAATGTTGAAAAATATGTAAATATCATACTGATTTGTTTTTCATTAATTATTGATACTTGATCTATGGTTGCCATTTTGATTAGTTCTAAAACTAATCAAGTATTCTCACATATGATAACCAACAAAATATACTACAGTAAATTATGTTCAAGAAGGAAAGAGATTGAAGTTGTAAATCTAAACCAACTGATTTCAGCAGTGGTGTTATTATAAACAATATGTTGCAAGGTGGATTCGTAAGTTAGAAATATAGTACTAAAGAATCTTGCACTAGGATAAATCATACTTGTTTACTGCTTATTTACTCCAAGAGAATACTGTTGATATCAATAGTTTTTTTTTAAAGCCAATCAGATGTCTAATATCTTACATGATATATGATGGACCCACAATTGTAAAATTGCATCCAAATTATATAATGTAGTTGTTGAATAAGTAATATAACGATAATAGTGATAATGATAATATTCATTACCTGTTCTACCTCCTCGATATCTTCCTCTTGCGGACTTACTAAAACGTCCACGCTCCGAACCATTGCGAGAATTATTATTATTCATTAAGGATACATCCCATGGAAGTAAGAAATTACTGTTACGCATAAATCCTCGGCAAGGTAGTCCTATATGAAATAAAAAAGTTATTTTTTTCGTCTTATAAACGCCATATATATAAAAGTGATCAGTTAATACACTTAAGTGGCACAATAACAGCGGACAATAATGAGAATAACGCTAACTATTAATCCACAAAATATTACACATGAGATTACTCTACATTATGCACTGACTAGTGTAATGTATAACTGTAGTATAGACTGAAGTTCTTTAAATTAAAGATAAGAAGGAAAGCAATTGAGCAAAACTTTTGATTATCTTAGAGTTTATTAATTATTTTTTATAGCATCAGAAACATCTAGTGTCTTGGACTGATGTAACGAAGCCGAAACTTTTTCCACCCCATCTGACAATTCATATTTTATTGAACATGTATGGAAAACTGTAACTTTCTTAATAAATGTGTGTACTGATTATTTAGTGAAAATAAATTTCAGTACAATGAACTATATTTCAAGTTACTGTGATATGACAATCAAAACTAAGTAATATGGATGGTGGAGAAGATTTGTAACTCAGGTGGATGAGTTTGATGGATTTGTGTTCTCCAAGCTGGATTGTTTGGTCAGAGGACAAAACTCCATCAAAGTAATATGAATTCAAACAAACGTTTAAGCTGAGGGAAGTTAGTAGACTTGAATAAACTCTAAGTTTCAATAAACTAAATTATACATAATCTTTCGTGTACACTGATAAATAAACATCAAAAACAAATTATGTAATGAGGAATGTAGAAATTACCGGAAGAATGAGAATAACTGAAATATTTCCCAAGTGCATAGATAGACCATGAGGGGTAAAGTGGTAAATCACCAACAAACCAATTAGTATTCGGTACACCATCACGAAATACAGCAGGATATAAAGGCATTGAATCACTTGAATGAATATTATCAACTCTGCCAGAATTTGATACATTTATTTTTGATTGTGAAGATGGTGAATGGTGAGCAGGTACACCAGCATATTCATTATTTTTAATTTCAGCTGTTTGTTGTACTAGATCATTTTGTAAAGGAACAATTGAATCTGATGTGTTGGATAGTTCAGATGGATTCGGTGATGAACAGCTTCCAGCTGGAATAAATGTATTAAGATTAAACCACAACGTTACGTTACACAGAAATCAAGGCGAAAGTATACTATGCTGACGATGTTGCTCTACTTACTAGCCAATCAAGAAACATAGCTTAGTTATAAAACAATTGTAGAAAGTAGTAAAAAATTCGAATAACGGTTTCGATATGATTAATTAACCTTCACACATTAAACTATGTATTGTGGTAAGCGAAAAAATGTCAAGTTTACATATCACGAGTTGGGGTTATAAATATTGAGTTTTCATCACTAGCTGATATCAGTTATAATGCAATGATGCTTTCCAACCCTTTTGTTCACTTAGAGTTGATGTTTAAAGTCATGCGTTAGAGTGGGAGAATAATATCTAGCTACATAAACGCCCTTGACTATGCGTTGAATTACATTATAACACAATCTGCATTATGAGCAGCTTTTTCTCGTAATTGAGCTTAAGCACCATATTATATTCACTGTTTGGTTGCGTGGTAGATATTTTTAAAATCAACTTTAAGGATTGAATATTGCTGATTTTCACTTAGAGGTGCGATTTTGATTCTGACCATCAGTATGACACAAATTTACAGAATTTAATGTTTGATTATTCTGACTATAATTATCAAATAAACAGTCATTCATGATGTCAGTAGGATCTATTACTGTAATTTAAAGGAAAGTCATTGCTACTTTTGAGATGGCAGCACAACTGGATATTGGTCTTAGTAATACATAACAACTGTAATTTATTGCATGATGGCAGTGTAATAAGGATAATCTACTTAATGGCTTTAATTCAAAATTGATTATGTATGATAAAGATGATTGCAAATAATCAGTACATAGTATCTCTAACAACTCCTAAATCAAACACGAGAAACATGTGATGAGAATGGAAAATTAAAGACAAGTAGCATAAATTCCTAAATCTTTATAATGACTAATAAGTTTATTTAATCTGTTGTCGTCCAAATTCTAGGGACATGGGATAATAAGGTAAGCATCAACACAAAAGGAAGGTTAGATAAATCAACATAAATTAAACATATAGCCACCTAAATTTATAGTCACATGAATTAGTTGTTAGAAATAAAGAAAAAAGAACAACTCACATAAATCATTGACAGTATCAATGTATTTGTCATTTCTCGAATCATCTGATCCATCATCGGTCGACTTTCTATTCATCATTTCACTTGAATTTGAATGATCAGAATCGGCTGATAATAATAATATGTCATTATCTTCAGGCTGTGAAAGATCGACATCTGCATCGGTATCTGCTTCATCATTATTATTCGTTGAATGATTTTTTGTTAACTTTTGAGCTCGACTTACAAGAGATGATGGAGGTGGGGGGGATGGTGATGATTCTGTATCCTTTTTGGGTTTTGTTAGAATGCATACTGCTTTTTCATTGAATACTTTCGTGTTAGTTCGATGACTTGGTGATGACGTTACAACATGATTTTCATTCGGCAGACAAAAAGTATGACGTGGATCAGACAAAATTTGTGGTGATAATGGAATATTCGTTAACTAGTGAGTTACCATATTTGGATATACGTATTAAGAAAAGGAAATAAACAAACCAACAATTCAACTTAAAACAGTTAATAACGATAACATTTAAATATCATAAGCTGCTTAATATTTAAATGACTATAATGAATTAACTGATCAGTTTACAAACTCCATAAATTTTCGTGGTAATACTTCACTTTGAGGTTATTCGGAACGTTTTCAGTGTTCATACAGTATTTTGCATTCAACACCTTTGACCATTTTCCACTTCACGTACAAGTCAAGTGTTTTATATTAGATATTTCATTTCAATCCCTGGTCGTATTTTTGGTCTTCATTTCACATGTTAGGCTACGCTACACTGATACAGTCATATGGGCAGGTTCAGCTAATTCCAGTGTTTAAATGAAATCTTTAGTCAAAATCCGATATATAACATTTACCCACTAAATTAACGGAAAGATGTTCGACATATCACACTTTAACCAGTTCTATACAACTCTATTTAACTATGATGCGACAGACAAGAGTTCAATTAAAAATCTATTTACTTAAATCAGCTTGCAAAATTAGCGCTTATTTCCTAACAATTCAACTAGAACATACTATAACTTGGAATCAATCAATTTGAATCAATGACAATTGTATTTTAAGTGGGATATCTCAGAATTTCGTTAATCGGTGAAGACTGAGATACGGATTAATTCGTGTGAGCTTAAAACCGAATTACTGTCTTTGGAATAGATAAGTGGGGGAAATTTTTTGTCTGATACAAAAAAGCACAACATCGATAGTTGTTCAGTGAAGGTGATGAATACCTGAGAAACGGACACTTCAGAAAGTCTATGGACGACTTCGATAATAGTGTGTAATTAGGTAGGGACTGTACTATTAAGACAAGGTCTAATATATGTAGAGTGTCACAACAAATAACTACTTACTGGCACACATGCACCAATAGATAACTTAACGTAACTGTTTTTTTTTTTTGAATTTTTGACTGAGATCATGAACCGATAGATGTTAGACTGTAGTGAACAAGAACACGGGTGGGGACAATCGACTGTATTTGGCACAAAAATTACAGACTATCTCAATATAATGTGAATACCATAAAGTCAATCGTCAATTTGCAAAATATCATTCCATCATATCAAACTGTACTGTTCCCGTTGCAAACACTAATCCATTGTCTCCCATTCCATTGTACATGCGTTTTCTTACAATTGCATTGTGTTCTTGCTCTTCGCCATCTTCTGCTGCCGGACATTACGTTCTTTTAACGCACGTTATATACTACTTATATCAATATAAGTAGCTCACACCACAAGACCACCATTTTGGAAATTGTGTTATACATACTAATTATCATACGACAAGGGAAAGTATTCGAAATTATTATGTATATTCAGGATATATTTTTACTATAATTAAAAATTATTGGAAGACACTAATTCTACTGTAGTGTGCGCAGTGCATATCAACACTGAGCACATAGTACAAGTGTGATCTGTATGATTGTAAACAACGTTTGTAAAACGGTGTTAAAAATGTTGTATGACATTGGATATCCATAAAAACAATTTCACAAACTTTACTCACCACTAATTATTGTACGAAGTTTTAACAACGTACAGGTTAACGTATTGAGCTTTGAATTACACTTATTGTATGGTGGCTAAAAGAATATTAATCTTATCAAAAATAATTTGTGTAGTAAGTTGTGGATCTATGATATGATGGTTTGAGTCTTGTCCTCGTTCGAGAAAAATTTTTGCTTGATAAAAACTTATTCGTTCTACAGTAAACAAAACAGATGACAAGGAGTTTCGTCGAGTCAACAAGGTGAAAAGCTAAGAATTCGAAGTAATAAGATTAATTCCAATGGAAAGTCTAACAAGAAATATGTATCATGAGGAATGAGTTATAGGAATCCAAAAACTGAAAAAAAAAGTTTTAGAATTTAAAGGCAGGTATAGAATGAATGCTATTGAGCTGTCCCAACAGATTTTGAGTCATAGGATCTATAGTGCATAACCATAGACTAAGATTATCGTACAGTACCTAGCTAGCCCAGATACCTGGATAGGATTTGAGGTTTCAGAGTAATACTCCAACAAGATCCGATATTGTAGTACATTTTCTGGTTGTTAGTTTGGTCATCCCATGTGACACGGTAAATACAGGTATTATTTAGATAATTATTTACTCTGTTCATCCTTCCTCTGCTTACTGGGACTTGGAATAATAGGAAATTCGGAAGAGCAGAGAGATTCTTATGTCAGAGAATATTTGAAAAAACTCAGAAAATATTTGAGAATTTCATAGGCGGTCAGCATTGTACACTATATTTCAGTAATTTGTCAATATCTGGTTACAAAGTAGTTGGTTTCTACTGACTACCTACATAATACAATTTGACCACTGATTTCAATTATAAGCTCAGAAAGTAATATAATAGACTTGGAATTTTAATGTAGGGTTAGATAAGAATTAATAGTTCAAAGTCAGATGTTTAAGTCACTTAACTAAAAGTCCAAAAAAGGAAGTTTCAGAGAGATCATAAAGGACTCTAAGATGAGAATAAGCCTTTTGATGTGATGAAGAGTCGATGTATGAGACAAAAATCATTAGAGCTAATGTAAATGTTATTAAAACTTCCTACCTTATTACAACAAATATTAGATAATATATGATAAAATCGCCAATTAGCTTCTTTATAATCAAATGGATCTGATCTTTCAGCTTGTTGACGACCACAACCGCATGAACTTATCATTATTACATCAGACCGATGTGGCATAACAGCTAAATGTTGATCTGGATTATCCGAATTTAAAGTATCGTTTGTTTGTTTCTCATTTAACAATTTCAGATATGATAGATTACTATTATTGTTATTGGTGAAACCTTTAATGGCGCATTCTATCCAATACCGTTTCCATTTACCACTGAGTCCTAATTATTATATAGAAGAATTGTAAACATAGTTCATGAAATCATCTGCAAAAAAGCTATAGAATAATTAAGAAATAAAAGAAACTGAATAACAAACAGAGTGCAATTTCAGAACTAAATGTTTCAGTTGACATACGTGTGCTTTGAATATTTGGTTGGTATTAGTCTAAGGTAACATAACGAAATGCGGTTGAGACTTTTATTAACACCCAAACGTTATGAAAATATGAAGACCGATCATCAGTAATAGATCTCATGTTATTACTAAGTAGACTTTATGCATATTACTCGTAAGTAAACACTTGGAACCGTTTTAGGCTTACTGTCTATTCCCAGTCCAGGTAACAGACAGAAGGAGTGGGTATAGGATTAACAACACATGCTAAAAAACACTAAACAGAAAATCATTTAAACTTGCAGGTAACCATTAGGATTTATTTGTTTATTTATTTTAACACATATATAATGGTACAAGGAGGCACCAAATACATATGCGCCACACAAATCTCATTTGATATGTATTAGGGCCGTGAAACTGCCCGAGTGCTCAAACCGAAGCAGGTGACTTTCTTGAGGGGCCACATACGGAGCTTTCGATCTGAAGGTCTGATCCACAAGGCAGTGGAGCATCGTGAGGAGATGCATTCCCATGGTAGCAGGTGACCAACGATTGGTTCATATGCCATTTGTTTCTTAAGGATAATGGAGATCATGTGCACCATTGGTTTGGAATCAGGGTTTTCCAACTCCCCTAGATGGATTCTCCATGTCCACCAACCCAGTTAAAGTGCCGGACATTCGCTTTTCGTCCTCTCATTTTCGTAAAAAACACCCCTGCCACGAGAAGGCAGTGAGTAGGACATCCCTGGCACAGGCTATATACACGTGGCTATGTAAGAGTATTTCGAGAGGGAGAGCGGACTCTCCCCACTCTCGGCCGTACCAGGGCATTTGGGGGCAACCACTAGGAAGTAAGGAACAAAGGAACACGAGGCCAAGAAATCTATGAGTAAAAAACATAGATTATGGGAACAGATATGGATTTCAGGGCCAAGAAGAATTTTGGCTCAGGAAAGCAGGCATTAAGATTGAAAAATACGGTTTTATAGGATATTTGATACTCAGATTTTCACTCATATTAATTGACAGATTTGATACTTATAAACAAAATATAAATGTTGAGTGTGTCATTTTTCTAACGACATAAAAACGTTAAATTACTTCTTTTTCAGTTGAATTGCAATTACGAAATAGAAAATTTAATTGGTTCAAGTTTTCATTTGATCAGGGTTTAATGTACCCAATCTACCTTCTCTGCAGTGATGGAAATACTCTAACTGCTTGTTATGTAACTGGAAACACAGATTTTAAATTTCTCTTCTGGATGAAAATCAACATAGTTTGCTCTACACCTTAAAATAATTAGCGCTAAATCTGGGCTGTGTAAGAAACTTAATTAATGGGATTGATGTGGTTGGTTATTCAAGCAAACAATAATTGCTAGTTGGGAAATGTTTGTGTCTACATAACTGAACAATTAATAACATGTATAACAATATAGAAAGTGAATTTATTTTCATCAAACTAGTTTACAAAAACAACTTACCAAAAGGAATAATATATTCATCTTTAAGTGTTAAATCAGTTCTATGTAATTTATTTATACTAGAATGTGGTTGATAGTGATTTTGGGATAGTAAATTTACATCAGAATTAAAAGCAGTATAATCTTTATTAATCTTATTATCTATAGTTGACAAAATAACCTTCAGAGTATTGCAATCATCTGGTACGCGATGCAGTTCATATTGACATGGTTGACCTGATAATGATATAGTGGAACATGTTACACGTCCAGCTAGATAAAGATGAGTTAACCGATTTGATAGTTTCTCTAAAAGACGAAATACTGAATGACCACGAGCTAAACCAATCGCTACATTATAAGCGGAAATAACCTATAACATTAGAATATGAAAAATGGAACAGAAATCATAGAATATATATTATATGTAAGTGCTGATTAAAGCAGAATGAACTGTATTACATGACATTATAATCCCCGCTACGTGAGAGATCACGTATCATATACAAAGCTCGCTTTAGTTGAGCGAATTTATCTGGCCACAGGTTCATTTGGGATTCCCCATACTACTTCAATTACGAAAGGCAAAGGTGAGATAGCCGACAGCATGTCAAGTGGAGTATACCACACACTGATACCAAGGTTGACAGATAAGAGTAAATTATAAACATAACTACTATCCAAATTTTGTTTGCATGCTGTGAGACCATAGACTAAGCGCTTTCAAAGTTAAACGAAAGGTTTTAGAGAGTAAGAGGAAGTCACTGAACAATTTCACCGATTTATGCTTGTTAGGCAGGTTGCATTACATGCTTTGCATGCCAAGTTACTTTATAGACGAATATGAGATAGTGAATTAAGTGAAACAAGGCCAGGTGAAAAATAAGTTAAGGTAAACTAAACGAAGATATAATAATACTTGGTAAAATGATTGACTTCTTGTCTGAATAGTACAAACTTCACATATGACGTCACCGAAGTGATATTAGTCAGTGGTTTTGAACATTAAGTAAGATACTAAAGTTCACGTCAATAGTACAAATACATTTACCACATTTATTTTTGCTCATATTTTGAACATTTTGTTACTCGTCATTAGTTTCTCAGTCATCCCATGTCAATTTTGGTCATTTTAATAATTTATACCACTTTTGTAGATTACCTCTTTCTGATTTGTTAGGAAGTGTGACAAGTTGAGCATCCGAGGGAGATTATCAGTTGATCAATCTACCTTCAATAGCAGCCAGAAATCTGATTAAAAAAGGCTTCGGAAGTGTACGTCTTAATGAATATCATTAAGGGGTGAATATTATTTACATCTTACTTATTGTCTATGATGGAAGTAATCAGAAAACTTCATGAAAATTTTGCTATCCAATAACAACAAATGTAACTATTGTACTTTTCACTGAACATTTACATTTGTCTTGCACAACACTGGGTTGTTTACGTTTTTTTCTGTGTGACACTGAAAATCCTAGCATAGACTACATGTATTTAGTGTGACATCCTAATAATTTAGACGAATAAATATCACACTACACACTAGTAGTATTTTAACTGGAATATGTATTCAACTAGACCGTTTTTGCTACCTTGACATGGTGGTCGGGGTTGCCTATCATGATGAAGCAATCGAGCTATTATTATGCCGGGCAGGTCGGTTGATGAACGGTAAGACTAAAAGCAACAAACCCAAGGTCCGAAGGCGAAGTCGTACTGCTGACTGTACAGAGGTGTGACAGCAGTAAGGTGTTTCCTTCAGACAACCAGCATGACAGCGATGCTGCCTTCCCACAAGGAGGGGTGGGGTTAGAAAAGGTCGACCCTAAAAATGCACACCTCGCCTTATCCCACGGATATCCGTCTCTGGCGGTAAGGTCTCAACAAGTACGAGGCTAACACAAAAAATACTCATAAAAAGGTCGTGTGTGACCGGCCTCAAGTAGTTGTCCCTTGGGAACAGCGGCCATGCGCTCAGGTTAATAAGACCACCTCTAATTCAATTTCCTTTCCAGGTACCTCCGGAAGAACTCTTTTACGATGTGGGCAACCGGGAAATCACAACCGCCCTCACACCTCTAACAGCACTCAAGACCACTGTATTCATAATCAACCTCCCTCTTCGGTTCCTATTATTCTTCTTACATCGACTCTCACCTCTAAACCTCCTCTTTCGACTCCCTCCTCAAGGGTCACCATAGCCAACGATTCTAGTGCGCAAAACATCGTCCCAGGTCTACTGAAACCTCGCTCCAAACTACACATTGGAGCCTTTAACGGACGTACCCAATGTCAAATCGGCCAGCAGACGTCCTTGGCTGGGACTCTAGAATCTCGTAGCATTGATGTATGCTGTGTCTCCGAAACACGCATACAGGATTCCAGTGTGGTCATTCACTTGACCTCACCTCGGCAAAACGTAGAGCCAACAAGATACACCCTCCGTGTATCTGGTGACCCGATGGTCAGTTCTCGTGGACTGGCAGGTGTAGGCATAGCACTAAGCATGAGGGCGGAACAAGCACTGTCGTTTATGTGCTGCAAGTACAAAGCATATATCTATTTTCCCGAATGAAATCTCAGCACGGATTCAAAAAGTCCGTTTGGCTTTTCCAACTTACATCACCTATGGCGAAGGCCAGATATCCGTCTATCAATTAAGGGATGAGTATAATGTGCGGTAGTTCATTCTGTTCTACTTTACGCCTGCAAAATGGCCATTAAGAGTAGAAAATATTCGTAAGCTACTAGTATTTGACCACAGATGCCTTAGAAATATTGCTGGCGTCTGCTGGGATCACAGGGCAAGTAACAGTGAGGCTAGACGCAGGGTATTAGGGAATGATGGTAAATCAGTTGATGAGGTTGTGAATCTCCATCGACTGAGATGGTTGGGCCACGTGTTACGTATGCCCGAACACCGATTACCATGACGTTCAATGCTAACCGGTGTTCGGGATGGTTGGAAGAAAGTTAGGGGTGGCCAAACCAAAACGTGGCATCAGTGCTTGAAGTCACTAACTTCTAGTCTGAGCCATGTTGGTAAATGCAGATTACTTGGTTGGGGTCCGCGTGACTATCGTAACCAATGGTTGGAGATTGTGGGTGACAGGGCTCAGAATCAATCACAATGGCGTAGGTGTATACACTCTCTGATTTCCCTTGAACTAAGAGATTAAAATCGATTTATATCTTTCTTCCTACGAACTAATTCTTTCTTCATGTACTATATCCCTATGCACGATCTTTGTTTTATATATTATCACCATTGACTTAATCACTCCTATGAATCCGGTGTTCATCTTGCTGTGCTAATGCGGTATGGCAACTTGGACCGATGCATATATGTGCCTGGTCCTACGTTGTAGCTGACTGACTGATATATATTCAAAATTTTATATACTATGTTGAGGTTAAACATCTGTAGACCAAACAATTATCACATTTACTTTTTTAGTGCAGATTAATTGGATGTATAGTTTTCAGAATGATTTCGAGACATCAATCGATCAAGTATTTGAAAAAAGTCTTAAAAATCATTGACTGCTATAAGTAACATAACAGGTCATAAAAATATCATTTGTACTCATAAAACAGTTAACAAAAACTCCGCCTGTAGCTCTTCTAGAGTTACTGCCGGTCCCAAGCCCGGGTAAAGGAGGAGGGTTGGGCATGGGGTTAGCGTCCCCATCCCGTAGAAAACTAACTCGTTAAAAAAACGCTTACCAGAAAAAATAATTCAAACCATTTTAACTCTGCCCTGAGAGTTAGAAGGTCTTCATTTAGAAGAATTATGACGCTTCATGGTGAAAGCCGAGTTCCTTCGGAAGCCACGAGGCCGATGCCCCTTCTAACAACCAGAGCAAAAATTTTTATAGGTACATGGAACGTTCGAACAATGTGGGAAACCGGGAAGACCGGTCAAATATCAATGGAAATGAGGAGATACAACTTAGCAGTACTGGGAATCAGCGAAACCCACTGGACCCAAGCTGGACAGAAAAGGCTAGCTACGGGAGAGATGCTGCTATACTCCGGTCACGAAGAGGAAAATGCTCCACACACTCAGGGAGTTGCTCTAATGCTGTCCAAAGTAGCACGAAATGCACTTGTAGGATGGGAATCCCACGGATCCAGAATCATCAAAGCATCATTCAAAACAAAGAAGGAGGGGATCTTAATGAATATTATCCAATGTTATGCACCAGCCAATGATAGCAACGACAAAATTAAAGATCAGTTCTACGAGCGGCTGCAGTCAATCATTAAGAAATGCCCAAGAAAGGACCTAACTATTCTGATGGGAGATCTAAATGCCAAAGTCGGAATAGACAACACCGGAAATGAAGATATCATGGGACGACATGGACTGGGAGAGAGAAACGAAAATGGGGGAAGATTTGCAAATCTATGTGCATTCAACAAATTGGTCATAGGAGGCACAATATTTCCACACAAGCGTATACACAAGGCTACATGGATCTCACCGGACAACACTACAGAGAACCAAATAGATCATATTTGCATCAACAAAAAATTCCGAAGGACAATGGAAGATGTGAGAACCAGGAGAGGAGCTGACGTAGCTTCAGATCACCACCTAGTTGTAGCCAATTTAAAACTGAAGCTAAAAAAGTACTGGACAAGTGGACAAACAGCACTACAAAGGTTCAATACAGCCTTCCTTCGAGATACTGACAAACTCAATGAATTCAAGATAGCTCTCAACAACAGGTTCCAAGCTTTACAGGATCTACTGAAGGAAGAAGAAACTACCATGGAGGACAACTGGAAAGGCATCAAAGAAACATTGACTTCAACGTGTCAAGAGGTTCTGGGCCTAAAGAAACACCATCATAAGGAATGGATCTCTATAGAAACACTGGACAAGATCAAAGAAAGGAAGAACAAGAAGACAGCAATTAACAACAGCCGAACACGAGCAGAGAAAGTCCAAGCACAAGCTGAATACATAGAAGCAAACAAGCAAGTGAAGAGGAGCATTAGAGCCGACAGGAAGAAATACGTGGAAGAATTAGCAACGATGGCAGAAAAAGCTGCTAGAGAAGGAAACATGAAACAGCTTTACGATACAACGAAGAAACTATCAGGGAAATACAGTAAACCAGAGAGGCCGGTCAAAGACAAAGAAGGCAAGCCAATCACTGACATTCAACAACAGCGAGACAGATAGGTAGAATACTTCGAGGAACTCCTGAATAGGCCGGCTCCAATGAATCCACCGAACATCGAAGCAGCACACACAGATCTTCCTATAGATGCCAACCCACCAACGATGGAAGAAATTAGAATGGCCGTCAGACAAATCAAGAACGGGAAAGCAGCAGGACCCGACAACATACCAGCTGAAGCACTGAAATCAGACGTCGAAGTAACCACAAGCATGCTTTACCCTCTATTTAAAAAGATTTGGGAGGAGGAACAAGTGCCAACGGACAGGAAAGAAGGACACCTCATCAAGATTCCAAAGAAAGGAGATCTGAGCAAATGTGAAAACTACAGAGGCATTACACTACTGTCAATACCAGGGAAAGTCTTCAACAGAGTGTTGCTGAACCGGATGAAGGATGCAGTAGATGCGCAACTTCGAGATCAACAAGCTGGATTCCGAAAGGATCGCTCGTGCACAGACCAAATTGCAACACTACGGATCATCGTCGAACAATCAATTGAGTGGAACTCGTCACTATACATCAACTTCATTGATTATGAAAAGGCATTCGACAATGTAGATAGGAGGACATTATGGAAACTTCTTCGACACTACGGAGTTCCTGAGAAGATTGTCAATATTATCCGGAACTCATACGACGGACTACAGTGCAAAGTAGTGCATGGAGGACAGCTGACAGATGCATTCCAAGTAAGGACCGGAGTCAGACAAGGCTGTCTACTCTCTCCCTTCCTCTTTCTTCTGGTGGTCGACTGGATTATGAAGACCTCAACATCTGAGGGAAAACACGGAATACAATGGACAGCTCAGAACCAATTAGACGATTTGGACTTCGCAGATGACCTAGCCCTCCTATCACGTACACACGAACAGATGCAGATGAAGACAGCCAGTGTAGCAGCAGTCTCTGCATCAGTAGGCCTCAGCATACACAAAGGGAAAACTAAGGTCCTCAAATTCAAAGCGGAGAACAGCAATCCAATCACTCTTGATGGCGAAACTCTGGAAGATGTAGAGTCCTTCACATACCTGGGAAGCATCATCGATGAACAAGGAGGATCCGATGCAGACGTAAAGGCAAGGATCGGTAAAGCAAGGGTCGCATTCCTACAATTGAAGAACATATGGAACTCAAAACAACTTTCAACCAATATCAAAGTGAGAATCTTCAATACGAACGTCAAGGCAATTCTACTGTATGGAGCTGAAACTTGGAGAACTACAACAACCACAATCAAGAAAGTACAAGTATTTATAAATAGCTGTCTTCGCAAGATACTCAACATCCATTGGCCGGATACCATCAGCAATAGCCTTCTGTGGGAGAGAACAAACCAACTTCCAGCTGAAGAAGAAATTAGGAAAAGACGATGGAAATGGATAGGACATACATCACGCAAATCGTCAAACTGCATCACGAGGCAAGCCCTAACTTGGAATCCTGAAGGGAAGCGGAAAAGAGGAAGGCCAAAGAACACATTACGTCGGATAATAGAAGCAGATATGAAAAGGATGAATTACAGCTGGAAGGAGCTGGAAAGGATTGCCCAGGACAAGGTTGGATGGAGAATGCTGGTGAGCGACCTATGCTCCTTCACGAGGAGTAACAGGTGTAAGTAAGTAAGTAACAGTTAACAAAACAACACTTACCTTGATTATATGATATGTACATGAATAATGAACAGGTAAATCTTGTTTATAGTGATTTTCAGCAGCAGATGTAGCAGGTCGATAACGAATAGTAGATAAACGATTAATTGGATCTATAGTAGACCATGGATTATTGTAATCTGAGGTGAGTAAAACTTCTTCTTCTTCTTGCGTAACAGATTTTTGTGATGTTTGTTTTTGAGCTATGGATAATGTGGACGTGTGAAGTGTAGGACAGAGGATAGAGATTAATGCATTATGCCATGATTGTGATAAACTAACTACTGCTCCTCCACTTCCAATACGCGAGGATGAATCATTTTGATTGGTAGTCATTTCGGGAGTTGGTACTGTGTTTAAGTGTTCGTCTGATATTAAACTTGTATATATTCTATAGCATGCCTAAGCATAAATGAAAGGTTATCAAGGCGAAAATGTCTATATTTAATAATCATAAAATAAATTATACAAACTGATAATGCGAAGATTAATTAAGATATTTAGTGTTTCAATATTAGTGGCTAAGTGTACTAAGCAATCAATTCCCAGGTCATGATTTTTCTCCTTGAATTGCTCACAAAAGTTGAACGACTAGCCAGTAAAACTGGTTACCACATATCAGATACAAACAATATTTCAGAACAAATAAATATGAGTAATTAAATCATGTCACTAACATTATAATTACCCTACAATCACAGGCTAAATATTCGAAATAAACAAAATAATCATTACAAGAAGAAAATTATAGTTAATGTAACGATGAAATACATAAACAAACCAACGAAAAAATATAACGTGTTATCGAAAAAAAAGTTTAGTACTTAAATTCAGACATGAAAGTGTAATAACCTTGGTTCCAAAGACATGTATTGCTTATAAAAGCATGCGTAAAGCATGTTAGTACTGGATTTCAGTCTCTAAGGAAATGAATACAGGGGTAGGTAAACCCAGTTTAAAAACTCCAAATAAAATAAGACCTATGTTCAAAATTGCATTGTTAGCCATAATTCAAAATATAATATGCAAAAAGAAAAGATCCGTAGATTTCGTAAATCAGAGCAACGTTAAAACCACGTTAGGTTGAATAGAATTTTAAGACAATGATCTATTTTTTCAAATAATCAGTGTTACTCATCCAATATAGCGGAAAAAGTTTCTTACAACTTGAGCGAAATTACAATTAAATAAAATGATGGATTATATAAAATTTAACTAAAATGATTATTTATTATTCATTTAATTTTCAGTTATTTTTAAAACACTTAACGCACATCCTGAATTGGTTGATTGTGTGAATTCTAAAACTCAACCGCCCCCCCCCACGAATAAACCAAAATGATAAAAACAGACATGATAAGGTGTACAACATTAACCGCAGTTACTTCATAAACCTCAGTCCAGGAAAACATAAATTCTTCGAACATCTCATCAAATAACCTAACAGCGTTATGGATTGATATCAGTCAGAAACCTTTTTCTAATGAACTGTGACTATTTATACATAACAACTAACTAGATTATTTTGTAGCATCCTAAGAAGCTTCGTAAATAGCATTCTTAAGTTCCTCTTATACATTGTCGTTTACACCTATTACTCCGAATGAAGCATAGGCCGCCGACCACGCATTCTCCAACCCACTCTGTCCTAGGCCTGCTTTTCTAGTTCTATCCAACTTTTATTCATTTTTCTCATGTCTGTCTCCATTTCTTGACGTAATATGTTTTTTGGTCTTCCTCTTCTCCTTTGGCCTTGAAGATTCCATGTGAGGGCTTGCCTTGTGACGCAGTTCGGTGCTTTCCTCAACGTGTGTCCTATCCACTTCAAGCACTTCTACCTGATTTTGTCGTCCGCTGGGATCTGGTTTGTTCTCTCCCACAGTAGGTTGTTGCTGATTGTGTCTGGCCAATGGATCTGAAGTATTTGCGTAGATAACTGTTAATAAACACTTGTATCTTCTGGATGATGGCTTTCGTAGTTCTCCAGGTTTCCGCCCCATACAGTAGAACTGTCTTGACATTTGTATTGAAAATTCTGACCTTGGTATTGGTTGAGAGTTGTTTTGAGTTCCAGATGTTCTTCAATTGTAGATATGCTGCTCTTGCTTTGCCGATCCGCGCCTTCACATCTGCATCAGATCCACCGTGTTCATCAATGATGCTGCCCAAATATGTAAAGGTTTTTACATCTTCCAAATCATCTCCGTCAATTGTGATTGGATTGGTACATTCTGTGTTGTATCGGAGAATCCTGCTTTTCCCTTTGTGTATGTTGAGACCTACTGCTACTGAGGCTGATGCTACACTGGTCATCTTCTCCTGAATTCGTTGTTGAGTGTACAATAGAAGAGCCAGATCATCTGCGAAGCCTAGATCGTCCAGCTGCATTCCAACTGTCCACTGTATCCACTGTATTCCCCTCAGATGTTGACGTCTTCATGATCCAATCGACCACCAGGAGAAAGAGAAAAGGTGAGAGTAAGCAACCTTGCCTAACACCGGTCTTTACTTCGAACGAGTTTGTCAAATGTCCTCTATGCACGATTTTGCAGTTTAATCCATCATATGGATTCTGTATGATATTGACTATCTTCTCAGGTACGCCGTAGTGTCGAAGAAGCTTCCATAGTATTGTCCTGTCCACGCTGTCAAATGCTTTCGCATAGTCAATGAAGTTGATGTAGAGTGATGAATTCCATTTAAATGATTGTTCCACAATGATCTGTAGTGTCGCGATTTGGTCTATGCACGATCGATCCTTACGGAATCCAGCCTGTTGGTCTCGAAGTTGTTCATCTACGGAATCCTTCATTCTGTTCAACAATACCCTGTTGAAGACTTTTTCTGGTATTGAGAGAAGAGTGATGCCCTTGTAGTTATCACACTTGCTGCAAGTGTGAACATTGTGTTACAACAGATTTTTAAATAAGTGAGAATATCCAATGAAGAGAATCACTTTACTATCTATAGTCGAACACCAGTAGATACAAACCAGTTCTGAAATATGAATGTACTACACAAATCCTGTGTAGTGGACGATACTCACAATATTATTTGTAAGTAGTGTGTAGAGGAACGCGACGTCAAAATTGCAAAAATTATCAGATGGAGTGAAGAGTTTCAATGCATTGAAAGAACAGCATTGGCAGAAAACTTGGAGACCAGGCGAGAAGACAGTTCAGATAGCAGAACACACTTAGATGCAAATGAATGGCTAAAAGCTATATTTATGCGGAAACATGGTAACTTTTCTCAATAAAAATACATTGTTCCTGCCTGTTATCGTCTTTTACATCTGCACATTTCAGAATATCTCTTCAACATATCCAGAACATTATGAATTAAAATTATGTCATATGAAAATTTCCAATCTAAAAGTAATATGAAAAATAGTCAATTCTCTTTACGCTCACCATAAACCAAGATTTGCATGTTGGCAATTCATATGCAACTGTTGCTTGACCAAAAGAAGAATTTTTATTAGATGCTTGATCAATCATGCTTTCAACATGTAAATGAAGAAAAGAAGATAGATTGTGCTGGGCTGGTTGGTCAGGTGCTGGAAAATTCCGTGGAGATGGTGGCGAAGTTGAACGAACAGAATCATTCGAATCAGTCGATAAGAATGTATAAGAACCAAAAAGATTAGGAATTTTGTCAGTAGACATGTCCGAAATGTGATTGATATTTTTAAGAATAAATTCGAAATATTCCTGAGAAATATCTTCGCAAGATGTACGTTGTTTAGACCCTTCCTTTGATTCTTCATTTTCTAACAGAACGTGTACAAAATTATGTCCTGGAAGCATTATTAATTGATTCGTTGAAATACTATAAAATGAGAAAACGTAAAGATAAAAATTTCGAGAGTGACATTCACCAATAAATAGATTCGCAAATGCAATGTATGAAAAATTAAAATATTGGGCAAATTGAAATTAAAGTACACCGTTTCTGTAAAAAATTGCACTATATATCAGAAATATTATTTAAAATACCATTACAGTATTGAAACCTCTTAGGATTGGTGTTTCGACAATCATTCCACAACCTTACCAAGGAATATGTCAAGAAGCGAATGACACCTAAATTTCAAATTACGAACCACCATTGGAAAGCTGGGAGAATTTGACGGCTGTCTCTTCCCAGTACGAGACTCATCAATCATGTGCAATCACGATCCCACGTTAGAAATCAAACCCAAATGAAAAATGGAAACGGAACACAAGATTTTATAGGGAAAGTGAGCGATGTTTTTTTCTTTTAGTAAGATAACAATTATCAAGCGTTAAGTGACATGATCCATTTTTTTCAATATCAGTGAGCATATGGAACCAGAGGAATGAACTCGAACGGGAACAAGAGACATTAGAAACACACTGAAAAAGTTCTAGAACTTTTATATTCAGTTAAAATAAAAACTAACAAAGCACTGTAAACACAACTTACCGATTGAAGAAAGAACATAAGGTTAATTACTAAACAATGAAATAAACTTAAAATACGAATTAAAGAAACCTTTGCATTACTAATCAACGACTGAAAGTACTCTCTCCTACCATCAAACAATAAATTATACGAAGGGACTCTATGGTTATACAACAGGAATTGAGAATCAATGAAACATTACTTCTTGAATTACTCTTACACACTTATTTTGATTAATAATTAAACCTTTCAATTGGAACACTTAGTTTAAACAACATAAAACTACAGGAATCATAAGTATAAATGATGGACAAATCAATTTTCGAATCTCAAAAACACCTAATTTTGCACCGAAAACATGAGAACCGAAAGTATTATTGGAATCTACAACAACAACCCTTAAGTAAATGAAATGATAGTACTAAAAGAACTATTAAATCTAATAAGAGTTCATCTACCGCAACAATCAGAATGTCGAGAATGAAAATAGTTCGAGCACATTTATAAGTATAGAATTATAGAATACCAACGAGATGAAATACTATTAAGCTTCATAGAACAGGGAGTACTAATCTACTGAATCCCCGTTTACAGTCGTTCATATGTTGTCAGATTAGAAGGCTTCATCAAAGTGAGAAAAAATCTATGTAGGAAATGGTGTTCTTTAATAGTCTCTACATACGTCTCGACAGACTACAAACCGGGTGCAATCAGTAATGAAGTCTACCAACATCATGACTTCAATAAACACACTTGACATATATTGTAGCACTGATCGGAGAGTTTAATGAGTGGATTTGGTATCTGATCACATAGAACAATTGCTTTGGTGAGCAATGAGGACTTGTTGGTCGCAGATCAGATAATAGTGACCGTCTACTGCACCTTTGTGCAGAACACCTGTTTCTGGTCAGCACCAGCTTTCAACGTAGCCATTGGCGATTATCTCTTTGGCATCATTCCTCTGTAACTCAGCTTTATGGTCAAACTGATTACATTCCGAGCAGTTACCTCTGGCGGGGAAGTAAACAAGACCGGCACTAATTTTGGAGTACCTATCTGGACTCTGGTCACGGTTTGGTTTGCTGAAGCTGATCTTGCTTTTGGTGGTCAACGACTGCTTCGTCCCAAAAGGGTTAATTTAGGTTCAAATTGTCATTCTTTTGTGTGGCGCATATATATTTGGTGCCCATTTGTACCAATATTTATGTGTTCAAATAAATAAAAATAAAATAACTACGGCATTATTTGCCGACTTTGGCACGGGGTGGAAAAAATGATGTGGTGTAGTGGTTTGAAAGAAAGCTGTATTGAACGAGCATCTGTTGATTTATCACGACTCTGGCTGGGGTCTTAGAGACGATGCAACTTAGAGGATTGAGATATTGTCAGATATGATTTACAACAGAAACCCATGGTGATCCTATCTTGTTTTTCTTTTACATTCCTCATAAGAAAAATAAAAATCCTTTTTCTAAAGAAGTCTCTCCCAATTGTAATATTAAGTGAGCCGTATCTACTGTCACTTATTCACTATTTTTGATTTTTTAGATTATATAACTTTTCTTCAGTTTTGTTGATGAATTTTATTTTTGGTGCCCACTTGTATCACATTTTATATGTACTAAACAAATAATAAGATTGATAATAAAACCCTTAAACCACGTCTGATAATTCAATGTTACATCTAGTTACACCTTAGCTAACAAATATATGCTGAAGATAAATAAATACTGAATATATGTCCACTATTTTCCATTTATATATGGGAAAATGAATATACTTACTTGCTAACAAGACCAGTTTCATAAAATGTATTGAATATTTGAGTGACGATATTCTGTTCCAACTGCCTGACAAGCTTCCAATTCTAAGACAAAGAAAAGAATGATAGAATTATCAATCAGTTACAACCAGTAATAGGTGACATAAGGTCTGGCATTAAGTTGTTCCGATCCAGGTTCTCTCACTTCAAATCCGAACAGAAGAAAAAAGAAACAAGCGAGGTGAAAAAACCAAGAAGCGGAAGTAACAGCATCGATTCGATTGGAAGGCATAGTATAGGAAATATGATTAATAAAGGATAACTCAAATAAAAGAATCGAAAATATGGACTGAAAACAATATTAGGATCTAAAACGTATACAACAAATGCAACTGGATTATTTCAACCGACGATGAGTCGTGTAATGTACAGTCTATAATAATATATTACGATTATTGTAAGGGGCATAAACAGGAACTTTAAACCTCCTAAAAGCGTCCAAATTAGGAACCAAGGATATTACGGGCTAATGCTGCGTCTTCGTTTAGCAGCCCTTGACACCTTCATCACTTATAATGAACCACTATTTATGCATGAAACCCGACGTACAACATAAGGTATGACAATTGATGTTACCGTACATGGACACTACTATGAAGACGATCCACGTTTTTAGAATGGTCGAACATACTAACACGAATGCATTACGTTTGTGAGACGTAAACCCGATTCCACAAAGGTTGTAAGTACCATCCGTAAACTTCGGAATTTTTAACCATCCTCGTGCATAATATAACAAATCGAACATCTTCAGCTGCACAATACAACACTCGTGAACCGAGTCACAGGAAATTGTCTGTTGAGAACGATCTACGAAAGAAGTAATTCTGGAAAAAATCGGCATAACTTGGAGGTTTGTATACCAGGATAAATAAAACAGTGGATGAACATTACGAATAAAACAAAAACCTATGCAGAAGCAAATTTGGGAAGTTAAATTGCAAAGGCAGCGAAATGATGTTACACTCCAAGTAAACATAAAAAAGAATGAATTTAGGTACACAACTAACTTTTATCATCTTTGCTTGGGCTGGCATCATTTTAAAGACAAATAGAAGCCTCGGAATAGAAGCGCGTCCATTGTTTAACCAGTCTCGAGGTAACGGAAGGTCACGAGTATAAATATCAATAGGATGCCTCATAAGTAATCTGAATCTTAACCACAGAAACGTCAACTAACCTCATTTTGTCCAACAGCTTAAAAATACGAATGAAATCGGGGTTTATATTTGTTCCTATAGATGTAATCTTTTTGGATTATTAAGTGATGGGAACTTACGACGATGAAATGTGATACGACGAACAGAAAGTACAGAACCTTCAAAAGTGTGTAATCATAGCGCTTAAGAGATTTTTCCCATATTTCATGGTCTTTATCACACCCCTTGAACAGCAACTCCATTTCCAAATTATTAAAGGTCAAAAATATAATTTGGTTTTCACAATCATAATACCCTTCGATGTAATTCTGCTAAACAAGGTTAGGATGAATTCAAGAATACCCTAGGGAGGTCCTAAAGAGATTAAGAGCGTGAAGAAAGAATTACCAATAGTGGGATTTCTCGTCCAGTATAACTAGATATATTAGAGAATTGAGATTTATCACGGAATATGTCATATTCCCCGATGAACGATATGACAGTTACTTTTCTCGATCTCAAAGGCAAATTCCTGAAGTCAAACTTCGGTGGGACAGGGAATCGTCCCTCGTTATATACAGCATCAACACTCATCACAAAGGCTCTAAAACTTAGGGCCCAAATGTCCCGGTGACCTTGAGTTCTAACAGATTGATAATCATAAACAAATTACGGTGGTCTGTAGCCCCATTTCATTGAACGACTTTTTGTTAATTTCAGATTCAGATTTGTGTAGTAAGGACAGAAGGCCTACGGCCTATGTTATTCCTTTTCTAGTATGCTTCTGTGAGTGTCCAGTCTTCGCTTGAAAGCGTAAACTGAAGGAGCGGACACCACTGCTTCAGGCAGCAGGTTCTAAGTATTGATGACTCAGTATGAAAACCTGCATGCCACGGGTATTTTGTTCGTTCTTGGCCTTTCTACTCGCCTGCCATGTCCTCTGAGGTGTCCCGATCTAGTGGGAAGAAAGAGAGAGAATAAGTTAGGTCCGAAATCATTTCTCAGTATTCTGTACATCAAAATTAGATCTCCCCTTAGTCTGCGATAGGACAGAGTAAAAAGGTCCAGTTTTTCATGCCGCTCTTTGTATGAAAACCCCGGAGTTCCGGAATTGCATGGGTAGCTGCACTCTGTACTTTTTCTAGTATGTCTGAGTCACCTTTTAAGCAGGGGCTTGCAGCCTGAACGCAGTTCTCTAGCTTAGTTCTCACTAAGGATGTGTATACTGTGGTGAACATGGCAGTATCTAACTTAGTGAATGTCCTTTTTAAAGCCCAGAGGGTTCGAAACCCCTTGGCTGCGACTTCCCGGCAATGGGCCGTCGTCTTAAGATCATTACTCACTATCACCCCTAGATCCTTATGAAACCGGACTACGGGTAATGACACATCCCCTATGTTGTACGTAGTAACTATTGAATCCCCTAAGTGCATGTAGACACACTTTTCCGAGTTGATAGGCATCAGCCACTCCTTAGACCAGTTTATCATATTACTTAAGTCTACCTGAAGAGTAAATGCGTCTTTGTCTTCAGTTACTACTCGCCGAATTTTTACATCATCAGCGTATAATAACATTCGAGACTGTACTAAACTTGTAAGATCATTAAAGTACATTATAAAAAGTAAAGGACCTAGGACGGAACCTTGGGGTACTCCACTTAGTACTGGTCTCCAGATGGAACACTTGGAATTTATTCTTACTTTTTGTCTACGACCTACTAGGAAATCTTTAATCCATTTTAAAAGAGGTCCGGCAATACCAAGGTTTTCAAACTTCAATAGCAGCCTATTAGTTGGCACCTTGTCAAAAGCCTTACAGAAATCTATGTAGACAACATCCAATGAGTTTCCTTTGTCTAGCGCATTAATCCAGAACTCCCTAGCTAAAAGGAAGTTCGTTGTACAGGATAGACCCTTTCTAAAACCATGTTGTGCCATGTTCAGCAAGTTATTGGTTTCCATAAATGCCGTAATGGTCCGTTTGACTATTCTTTCCAGTATTTTAATTACCACACTGGTGAGGCTTACGGGTCTGTAATTCGATGGAACTTGTCGTAGACCTGTTTTATGTATGGGAGTGACGATTGCGTCCTTCTAGTCCATAGGTAATACACCTTGGTCAAGTGACATATTGAATATCATAGTCAGTGGGGCCGCGATATATTGGGCAATATGTCTCACGATTTTGGGGTGTAGTTCATCTGGTCCTGTTGACTTCTCCATGTTTAGGGTGATAAGAGCCTTAAGTACATCGTTTTGGTCGAAGTCCACGGGTCTGATTCTTTCTCTAGAGGAGGTTCCTCAGTGAAAACTGCCCAAAAATAGTCAGCCATAGCCTCTGCTTTTTCCTGATCTTCCTCTATCATTTCGGATTCACTTCCTACTTTAATTAGGTTAGGAATCCAATGATGTATCCTTGTTCTGTAGTTTATGTACGAGAATATTCTCTTGGGCTGCTTGAGTGCAGATTGTGCCAGCTGCATTTCATATTTCTTTGAGCTTCCCTAATTTTTGTTATACACTCGTTTCTTATCGATCTGTAGCATTCCATCGTAACTGCTGTGCCGAGGCGGATGGCAACATCTCAGCATTTTTTCTTTTGTCTTAATAAACGTCAAATATCCCGCCCTATCCAGGGATGTCCGTGCTTCTTTTTCTTTGGGACAGTCCAGGGTATGTATGGTTGAGTTACCCGATTGTATAACTGTCTGAATAGAGTCCATGCCTCTTGTACTGATGCCTTTGAGTCAATTTCCCAGTTCTCAGCCGATGCTGCGGAGTTAATTGCCTGCATATCTGCCTTCCACGTGTTAGGACGGGCCGGCGCAACTGTTTGACAGGCAATCTCAGCCATGAATTTGAATAAGATGACTGCAAGGTCACTTCTTTCAAGTGGTGGGATAAAAGCCATTTGACCAATGTCATCATCGTGTGTGAAGACTAAATCTAAGACAGAAGAAGAGTTTCTTAAGTCGTATCTTGTGGGATCTCTAATGTGTTGGAATAATGCTAGTCCAATCGAGGTTTCTAACAGTTTGCAGTCGAACGACGATATCGATGACCCCACTTCTAAGTTAACCCAGTTTATATATGGTGAATTAAAGTCGCCTACTACAAGACTTTTACCGTTGTTACACCAGGACTTAAGTTTACTTAGGAGAAAATCATCTGCTACACATTCTGGACTGCGATATACTACAAATACTTCAGTATCTTCCCGTCGGCATTTCAACTTACATCTCACCAGTCCACATGTCCCTGAAACATCTGCTACTGTCTCAGCTAATCTTATAGTCAGGGTACTTTTCGTGTACGGAATAACTTCGCCTCCCCTTCGGTTTAATCTATCAGCCCTACTGATTATGAAACCAGTCAACTGGATTTCGCTATCTAATACTTCTGACGTTAACAGAGTTTCCGAGACAGCAATAACGTCCGGTTTTTTTTTATCCACCACTGGCTTGAGCTCCACCATTTTGTTTAGAAGGCTGCGAGCATTTGTGTAGCATACCTTTAAGTTTGTGGAGAGCTTTCCCCTGGCACCCAGAGTGGCTTAGGGATCGTTTTGCTCCGAACTTTTACAATTTGAAAACCCTTAAGAATGAGGTTTCTTTCACCGTTTTGGCGACGCTCATTTATTTCCGCTTCTGCAGCTCGTCTCTTAATACGATCAGCTAGGCTGAGATCCTCACGGACATATATTCCGGATCCAATCAGTTTACGTGAATTACTTAGAATCAGGTTCCTTTCTTCCACCGTGTTGAATGTAACCTTTAGGAGGTGGTTTTTCTGAGGACTTTCAGAATCCACTTTTTTCCTATTCTATGAAGCTTACAAATACTAACTCCTTAATGATGTCCTAATATGATTGAGATCGTGTTCAAATCTTGCCTTTCGTTCTGTATTTGAAGATTCTCTTATCTTATGAAAAATGACTGATCTCTCAGAGAGATCTGTCTTGTCACGCAGTGAGGATTTTTCTTCTGACAACATCCTTTCCAACGACTTGCTGACCAGCTGCGTTTTGCCCACAGCCTTTTTCTTCCCAATTCTTTTTCTCCTTACTGAAGTCCAGTTGTCACCACTCAGGACAGCTACACCTGGACTATGTGGAACGGTGACAGTTTTATCCGGATCTTCTATCTCGACTAGAGGTTTATGACTGCCGATGTCAATATCAAGCGACACTTCATTCCTCGTTAATGTCAACGGAGGCTTCACGTTCCCGTCAACCGCAGTCAGGTGTTTAACGGATCCAGTAGCAGCACTTACTACACTGACACATTCTTCACCGTCAGCGCTCTTGTTATCAGTGCCTCTGCCATCGTTTTTCTTGCAGGCCAAAGCCAATAGGCCCATAGCCTCCTGATTTAGTACCTTTTTATCCGTACAGCAGAACATACAAAGCCAATGCGACTTAGGCTTCGAGCATCTTTTGTAAGCCGTCGGACTTAGTCGTGTACACATTTTGTAGTACCACTTTTTGCAATCGTCACACTGCATTCCCTCCTCAACGGGGAACAAACAATTTGGTTGCCCACATTTGTGAGTCTTCCCAACCATTGTAATTCGATTTAAAAGGTTCAAAAACACAAAATGATCACAATGTGAACACAAGTTGTTATGAACTTGAATCGCTTTTACCCCGTTGATACTTTGTGATGACTTGACCTTGATCTGTCTATTCTAGATAATGGCATTGACGCGATAGGCTGAGCGGCTTAACCTTGAGTCTAGTATGCGTGAGTTTGAGATGAGGCAGAGAAAAAACTATTCTAGAACCCGATTGGTTGGCAAGCACGCAAGTGAGAGAAGACAAGACAGTTGGAACACTGTGAATTATCTGAATTCGGATCAGTGCAAAAATTTACATGAATAAATAAGTGAATGTCCTGACCACAACGTACGATAATTTGGAAAAATACAATTATGTCCGAAACTGAGAATTAGGGTAGAAAATAAGATGCAAAATATTATGTTCAAATTACAATATTTTCGGAACAAAAAAGGGTATGGTAGCGAATGTTACATAGAACGAAAGCTCATGTTATGTGGAATAAAGTAGGGACAAAAATAATGTTTTACAAGGTTTGAATGAAATGAAATAACGTCCCAAAAAATAGCTTTCGTAGTTTGTCTGGGCTTCTTACTTCCCCGTTCACAACACATGTGTTAGTCAAGGAGTAAAAAAAGTTACTCAGGAAAAAATTTAGGAAAAACGTTCAAGCTTTAACCAAAGTACTTTTAGATAAAGTAGACCAAGAATGCTTTTTAGTGCAATAAGTACCCAAAGCAAGTATAATTACAACAAGTACAAAAATCACTGCCCTTTTTGAGACGAGCGCTTAACAGGACAATATAAACAGCTCCTCAATAGTTACTAACAAATCACTGATAGTAAGTGTTACCTGGTTTCGCTGTTAATGATGAAAAAGTTTTCAGATTCAGTTTCAGTTTGAAAAACAGGAGGCCTGATGGCCTGTGTTAGTCCTGTCAATAATAGTCTCTCAGTTGATCCAACTTTCTTTTGAAAGAGTCGACGGATGGAGCCTCAACCACGTGCTGAGGTAATGAATTACACTCGTTGATGAT